ATCGCCTCCTGGTCTCTGGCCGATTCCGGGGCAAACATCGGCCACAAAAGTGTAAGTCTGTGATCTTGCTTTCAATCTGTACAAAGTTACATTTTCCATACCATAAACACTATTTTCAGGGTTTACCTTTTAAAATTTCTCTTATGGATGAAGCTCTGCTCCCTTTGTGTGGGTGGGGGGTTGTCAGTTGATTGTATTTTTTATTTTCCAATTACAGCTTATGTTCAACATTATTGTTTTATTAGTTTTGTTCTACAGCATAGTGGTTGGACACAATTTTTTTTTTTTTTTTTTTTTTTTTTTTTTTAAGAATCAGAATAGCGGCTCAGTGGGTGAGTGCAGGCCTGTGAATCAAAGGGTCGCTGGTTCGATTCTCAGTCTATGGCATATGCCTGGACTGCGGGCCAGGTCCCCAGTACAGGGTGCATGAGAAGCAACCACACATTGATGTTTCTTTTTTCTCCCTTTCTTCCCCTCTCTAAAAGTAAATAAATATAATCTTATAAAGAATGCATCAGAGTAAGTCCAGAAAGATGGGGTTAGCCCCAGTGGTGCTAGTACCTGTGAACCCTCTGGGCCTCCGTATGTTCTACGAGAGTTGCGGCGACCCCGGAAGCCCTGGAGAAGGAAGCAGTCTACCTGGGAGTGAGCGGCCAGGGGGCTAGAGGGAGGGGAGGCGCTAAAGTCGTCGTCAGCCTTGCATGGTCCAGAACCAGCTCCCGGCTCATGACCGTCACTCGTGAGTGGGTGAAACGTCGGAGGGGAAGTCAGGGCACATTTTGCAGAGGCGCCCCGCCCCCGCTGCACCCCTGAACTGTGATGCCTGCCCACATGAACTCTGGCTGTAACTTTCTACCTCTGGGTAGAATAAGGCTGTGGTGCTCGGTGCCGTAGGCAGTGGCTCTAAGTGCGAAAACACCCAAGCAGGCACCCTGCGCAGCACTTTTGGCGTGTCCCTCCTTTGTCCACTGTTCTCACTCCATGAGCAGTGGACGAGGGCCCAGCACTGTGGCCAGGCTCTCCTGCGGCCACTGTGCTGGAGATCTCTGATGGACGCTTCTTCCACCTACGGGAAGGTGAGCGGCCCCCCACCCTGTGTATGCCCTCCCAAGCCTCAGGGTGCCCGTGCTGCATGACAGCACTTGCTGTCCCTGGCGGAGGTGGAGATGACAGCAGGGCGCGGGGCCAGTCCCGGATCTCCCAACACACAGCACTGGCAGTGGCTGCTGGGGTACAGTGCACCCCCCAAGTGTCAGTGCTCGACTCTATGAACACATGCGCCCTGAGTCCTTGGCATGTTAGTGCCGCAGGTGCTCGACATCAAGCAGTCAACACAATTGGTAACAGTTTTATTTTCAAGGCTTCCAAGGCCACGAAGGAAGCAGTAATTAATCCCAGAGCTGGCCTGGCACGACCACTCCACTTGAAGTAGCTACGAAGGTGTTTTTCTCCTCTGGCCGCAGCTCCGGGATTGTGCGGCACCGCAAGTCCGACAGCGCCCTCTGCTGGACTGCGGGCGCCCTGGCCCTGGCACAACGGGATCTGTCCCTTAAGTCGCTGCTGTGCTCAGGGCTAAGTCCACAAGGGGTAGGCGTGTGTATCCACACCTTGGTTACTGTTTTGAGGACAGACATACCTAATTTTCTTTCATTTTTCTAAGTCCTCACTCGAGGACATGTTTATTGATTTTAGAGAGGAAAGGAGGGAGAGGGAGGGAAAGAAACATTGATCTTGATCAGTTGCCTCTCGAAGGCACCCCAACCGGGGACTGAACTTGCAACCTAGGCATGTGCCCTGCCCAGGAATCGAACCTGTGACCTTTTGGTTTATGGGACAGTGCTCTAACCCACTGAGCCATACCGACCAGGCCATAATCTCTTATTTTTGAGGAAATATTTCTCCATGTCCCTGTCAGGGTTGCGTATCCATGAGGTGAGTGGGGCAGGCGTGAACCCAGGTCCGAGGGGTGGGAGGAAGGAGAAAGCTGCACGGAACAGGTGGCTTAGCCAGCCCAAGGCGACCTGAGAGGAACCTGGGAGAGAACCACCCTGACCCACACTTCCTCCTCTTCCCTCTCAACTCTCCCGGGAGTCCCCGTCCACTAACGTCCACCCCGGCGGACTCTGAGGGGGTCTGTTTACACAACACAGGTCAGCCACCTGGGACTGAGAGCGGGCGAGGACAATCTGCAGGTCTGAGGGTGGGGGGAGACTGATGGAAGACGCCAGCGTGCCAGGCGTCCAGTAAGTACCAGGTGGTTGTCTTGGAGCACGTTGACCCCCGTCTGTGAACGCCAGTAACCCCAAATGCAACGACTACCCATGGAGTAGCTATGGGCAGGCATGGTTGTTTGACATTATCTTTAAGAATTTACATTACGTCGCATCCTCTAATCTTACCTTGTAAGGTTTTTTTTTTAAACTTAAAAATGAGTCCTGGCAGGTGTGGCTCACTGGATTGAGGGCTGACTTGAGAACCAAAGGGTCATCAGTTTGGGCACAGGCCTGGGTTGCAGGCCAGGTGCCCACTTTGGTGCGCCTGTCTCCTGCACATCAATGTTTCCCTCCTTTCCCCTTTAAAAATAAATAAATAAAATCTTAAAAAAAAGAAAAAAAAAAGACAACTCTCCATCCCATGTCCTTTTCCTGGACACATAGGGAGACTACATTTCCCAGCCTCCCTTGCAGCTGAGGTTGGCATCATGAGACCAGGTTCCAGCCAATGGAAGTGGCTGCACTGGGGAGCGAGCTGTTCTCTGGACTGGACAGAACCTCCTGGATGGGGTGTCTACTTGCCCTCTCCCTGTCTGTGGTGCTGGAAACAGTGGCTCCCTGACAGATGCCCAAGTGTCACACGGAGACGAGCCATCAGGGCGAGCCACCGTCATGTGCAAGCAGCTTTCAGTGATATAGGTCCACAAAATGTGTAGTTTGTTCCGACACCACCTGAAACGGCCTCCCAGCAGCAGTGCAGTGACACTCGACACAGGGCCAACCCTCTGTCGTGCAGTGTCCGGTGCCCTGCAGGCTCAGCTGCTTCTTGGCCTCGACCCCTAGATGCCCACAGTGTCCACTCCCCTCCAGTGAGGACAAGGAAAAGTGTCTGTGGCAGGTGGCAAGCCACCCCAGGGCAAAACTGCCCTCGGCCTCCGACCTAGGCCCTCTTGGCTGTGCGCTAGGCTGTGTGTGTGGGGGTGGGTAAGGGCAGGACAGGCACGGGCACAGCTCGCCTCCCAGTGGGCACGGCATGCACATGACACACGCTTGCCCCTTTACTGCAGCGCTGTCACTGTTTACTGGGAGCGATGGCACAGGACTGAGTGAGCTAAGGTCTGTTCAAGGTGGAGCATTACACCGCCATTAAACGGCGCAGACCCATTGCTATTCACTGGCATGGAAGGGCCTCCTCGTTTTGTTATCTAAGCAGCAACATAGGAATGTGTGGTGTCGTATTTTTAAAGGAAAAACATGTTTGCATAGGGCAGCGTCTGCAAGGATTTCAATGGTACTCCTTCTGGGGCAAGGATTCCAGGTCGGTTACCTTTTTGGCTGGTTTTTGTTTTTCTGCTTCGAATGAGCAGATGACAATTGGTGGAGACTGTGCCCTGGGGGGCAGGGGACTCTCTCCCACGAACTGGGCTCTCTGAACCCCCAGGTTCTCCTGGGATGACACTCCACTCGGGCCGTTCACGCCTCTGACTCAGGTCTTCCCTTCTATTCAAAGGTTTGATGACACAGTCCAGAAGCTAAACTAGAGGAAACAAAGGCTTTCTAAACACCGATGATGTCTGACTTCCCGGGTGTGTGATGAGCTGAACACAACAGAATGTAAGAATGAGGCTGAAGCTGTTCTATGTGATATAAGATGTGTTTCTTAAAATGTCCATGTGGAAGTACTTGCCTATGTTCCCGCCAGTACGTCCAGTTTGGGTAAAATATTCCCAGCTATGTTTCTGCTTTTTCTAATTTCACTTTTTTTCTAGCCTCCAAGTACCTAATTTCACAAAATGGAAAATAAGAAATGTATCACCCTATTTATCAAATTAGCATCAAACAGGCTGTTTGTCATCTGGATGTTGATTTTGAGCGAAATGACCCTGCTTTGCCCTGGGCTGGGAGGAGTGTGAGAACAGGAACGCTCATGTGCCCCGTTTGGGCAGCGCACACCTGAGACGGAGAAACTCGGAGCTCCCAGCTAGTGAGCCGAGCCCACAGTTGTTGCCCTAAAGTGGGTCATCTCCTAAGTGCCCCCAAAGCCATCGACAACCATCTGCTTACTCATGGAGGGCATACAGCAATCTCAACATGGCAGTTTTTCCTATGAGTTTGTGAACGGACAGGTGATAGAGACGGACCTTTGCTGACTATCATGTTTATGAGTTTTGGTGCTGATGTTTAAAAACTGAACCGCCCCCTTGAAGTCTTCTGGTGAACAGTCATCCCTCACGATGTCGTGATGTCTGTTTCCCAGGCTTTCTCGGAACATGTGCTCTCCCCATGAAATTCAATTTTACCTAAGATGCTTATTTTTTTGTCGCTGGCAGAACTGCTGTGTTGGATACACTGCAGAGTGAGTGCTCAGTGGGCGTCTCCCTGCGGCCTTCCTGCTGCTGGAGGCTCGGGGCCCACCACGCTCCCCACTGATCCTGCCCAGCTCCATGAACTCCGAGGGGCTGACGGGATTTTATGGAGATTTCTTAGTTCAGAATCTGCTTTATTGAATTATCTGAAGTCACCACAGGGTCAACTTGTCCTGCAGAAAATCACGAGTTCTTTTTTAACTTACAATATAAAATCACCATTTGAAGTATGCTTTAAATCTTTCCATGTACAGTTATATAGTGTGTTCTCGTTTAACCAAGAAGGAGCAAAGCAAACTTCTTCACACGGGTCATCTAAAGGGCATGATTTTGGTTCTGTATGTAGAACTAATTAATTATGCTATCATTTCCTTAACACTGAATGTGAAACTTTATTAATGGTCAATCCCAAATACAGGGGTCCAGCACAAATAATGCCCTTTTATTACAAAAGCCTTTATTGTAAAATCACAGGCATGTTATTCTGTAACATCACACTCCAGCACGCCATATGATGCTTTAGGCAAAATGTTCACATTAAAACTCTGAATTATTACACCCATTTTATTAGCCCACTGACCACACTCAGGCAGGCCTTACTGCTGCTGGGCCCTGAACATTCTTGAATGTTCAAAGGAAAGATGGTTCATTCTTCTTCAGGCCAGCATTCAGTGCTTCTGTTATCTGTACAAGAAATGCCTTAGCTTTCAAGTAAGGCTGCTGCATATTCCAGACTGTTGGGAAGACAAAAGCAGCGTTGGCAACGGTGGCTCCGTGCTTCGGGCGTCATCCCATACACTGAAGTGTTGCAGGTTCGATTCCTGGTCCTGGCACGTACCTGGGTTGTGTGTTCGTCCCCAGGTCCACACGCATACAGGCAATGCTTTTCTCTCCCTAAAAGCACTGGGGGAAAAAAAGTCCTCCGATGAGCACTAAGAAAAGAGAAAAGCAAGAGACTTCCGCCAAGATGGAGGCGTAGGTGGAAGCACTGTGCCTCCTCCCACAACCAAGTTTAAAAACAACAAAGTTTTGCCCTGGCTGGTGTAGCTCAGTGGATTGAGCACAGGCCTGCGAACCACAGGATCGCGATTCAATTCCCACTCAGGGCACATGCCTGGGTTGCAGGCCAGTTCCCTGCAGGCAAATTCCCAGCAGGGGATGCACTAAAGGCAACCATACATTGATGTTTCTCTCCCCTTCTCCTTCCCCTCTAAAGGTAAATAAATAAAAATTAAAAAAAATAGACAAAAAAATTAACTAAAATTAAAAAATAAAGACAAAACATTAAAAAAAAACACAACAAAGTTTTAGCAATAAAAACGCAGCCAAAACCACAGAAAATTGAAATTCATGGAAGTCTGACAACAACGAATTCTTCAGCCAAACCAGTAAGAGGGGCAGAGCCAGCAGCAGAGTGGGGTCGGGCAGGAAAGATCCACCGGACTGACCCGGGTGTGTGACCCAGGTGCACCAGCAGCCGCGGGTGGATCCCAGGTGTGGAGAAGGGGCAGACCCACTGAGGGCTCAAGGTGGTGGACTCACTGAGGGCTGACCACGGTCACACATTTGTGCGCAGATAAACAGGTGAAGGAGGGAGTGGTGAGACAGACTGTGCAGGCCCCAGTGGCAGGATGTGGCAGAGGGGACTGCCATTGCCCCTCTCTGACCCCGCCCCCACATACAGCGTCACAAATCAGCGACCTGGGTGGCCCTGCCCTGGTGAACAACTAAGGCTCCGCTCCTCATACCTAACAGGCACAAACAGATCAAAACATGGCTCAAGAACAACTCAGAGCCCAGAAATCTAAGCGATGAAGAAATAGCCAAACTTTCAGATGCACAGTTCAAAACACTGGTGATCAGGATACTCACAGAACTGGTTGATTTTAGTCACAAATTAGAGGCACATATGAAGGCTAAACTAATTGAAATTAATGGAAATGCACAGGAAACCAATAGTAATGGAAAGGAAACTGGGACTCAAATCAAAGGAGTGGACCAGAAAGAGGAAAAAAATGACCAAACAGAAAAGAATGTAGAAACAAGAATTCAAAAAATGAGGAGAGGCTTAGGAACTTCCAGGACATCTTTAAACATACCAACATCAGAATTATAGGGGTACCAGAAGGGGAAGAGGAACAGCCACAAGTGGAAAATTTATTTGAACAAATAATAAAGGAGAACTTCCCCAATCTGGCAAAGGAAATAGACTTCCAGGAAATCCAGGAAGCTCAGAGTCCCAAAGAAGTTGGACCCAAAAAGGAACACACCAAGGCACATCATCATTACATTAGCCAAGATTAAAATGAAGGAGAGAATCCTAGAAGCAGCAAGAGATAAGGGGACAGTCACCTACAAAGGAGTTCCCATCAGACTGTCAACTGATTTCTCAAAAGAGACCTTACAGGCAAGAAGAGGCTGGAAAGAAGTATTCCAAGTCATGAAATCTAAAGACCTACAACCAAGATTGCTCTATCCAGCAAAGCTTTCATTTAGAATGGAAGACAAGATAAAGTGCTTCTCAGATAAGATCAAATTCAAGAAGTTCATCATCACCAAGCCCTTATTATATGAAATGTTAAAGGGACTTACCTAAGAAAAAGAAAATAAAAAAGATGAACAGTGAAAGGACAGCAAACTCACAGTTATTAACAACCACACCTAAAACAAAAGCAAACTAAGAGGATAGCCAGATCAGGAGCAGAACCATAGAAATGAAGATCACATGGAGGGTTAGCAACAGGGGAGTGGGAGAAGGAGAAGGGGGAGAAGGTACAGAAAATAAGTAGCATAGATGGTAGGTAGAAAATAGATAGGGGGGAGGGCAAGAATAGTATGGGAACTATAGAATCTAAAGAACTTGAGACACTGTGGTAATAAACTAAAGGGGGGGGAATGGTGGGGGAGGGGGTGTTCAGGGTGGAGGGGAATGAGGGGGGGAATAGAACAACTGTAATGGCATAATCAATAAAATATATTTAAAAAAAGAAAAGAGAAAAGCAGAAGATGAAGAATAGACAACATCAGAGCAGTCACGTGGGGGCAATGAGAAGGTTCCCAGCTGGCTGGCCTTCTGCCCACGCAGAGTCACTCACTACATTCCTCCAGCTCCAGGGCAGTCGCAGCCGCATCGCCAGATCCAGGGGCCAGGGCTTGTCCTTGGGTGGTGTCCTCATCAGCTTTCACCTTCGGAACTTCTCCGTGATCGCTGCAGACTGAAAATGACAATGAATTCATGTCACAGGAGAGCGTTGCACTGATTTTTAAAGTTCTTTTTTCAAACTAACTTCACCATCACTGACTTAAAACAGTTTCTGCTTAGCCAGTGACAGTCACACTAAGTAAAGACGCAGGACAACACCTGGGGAAGAAGGTGCTGGGCCCAGCTCTCAGCCACCTCAGCCTGAAAGCAGACTCCGGAGGACAGTGGGTGGGTTGTGTGCAGGGGCATGGGGCCCTTGTCCTCACGCCTTAGTGCCCCAGGACCCCGCAAGGAGGGGTCGGGAGAGGCCAGGGGTGTGGCACTGGGCAGCTTGTGCTTTCCCTAGCTGATTGGGTGTCATTGGAGCCGGAAAACGTCCACACTGTATGCGAAGATGACGTCAGAGCGGGGACACGTCACAACCATGCAGACAAGGTGACATCCGAGAAGAAATACATCACGACCATGCGGGGAAAAATGACGTCAGAACGGGAGCACGTCGCAGCCGTGTTGTGTCGTCAGAGCCTCTGCAAGGAGGTGAGCGCGGCTCACACCCACAGCTGGGGTCCCGGTAGGAAGGAGGTTTGGGGTGGGGGAGAGACGTCCAACTGGACAGGGGCGCCCCGCTCGGACCCCGACTCGCCCCCACGCCCCGCCCTCAGCCGGGCCCGGGCCTTCCTCGGCCGCGGGCGTTACCTCGGGTCCGGTTCGGCAGCGACCGGCGACGTTCCGCCCCTCTGTGCTCTAGATTTGCTGCCCCGAGCCGCACTTCGGTCGCCCGCGCGGCCGCCCGCCGGCGTCCCGCCCCCCTCGCCGCGCGCCTGCGCTGCCCGGGCGGCCGCGCGTGCTGACGGGAGGGGCCTGGCATTCCCACCTTCCCGGGACCGGCCCACTGCGGCCGCACGTGGGGGACGCGCGTTTCCCCCAGTCCCCGGGGCCCCCTCGTGAGCAAACGGCGGCCACGCGACCTTGTTTCCCGGTGCGGTCCGCGTGGAGGTCGTACTCACCGGTCCGCGGGCCGCAGTGGAGGCGCCGGGCGGTGTCTTCTGTCCGCCCTCCCCTTGGCCCTCCCCCCGGCGGCCCGCGGATGGTGCGTCCCGCAGGGCGCGCGCGGCTCCCGCGCTTGGGCTGCTCGGCGCGGGCGGGGGCGCGGAGGGCGGGGGGGAGTGGGCCCGAATCGCAGCACCGGGCGGGCGCCGCGCCGTTGGGGACCGGGCCCCGCGGGCCGGGGCGGGAGCCGCCGCCGAGCTTTCCGGCCCCCGCGACTATGGCGGACCAGGCGCCCCAAGTTCCCGAGGACATGTTCAGGGAGGTCAAGTACTACGTGGTGGGCGACATCGACCCGCAGGTACCGCGCCGCCGCCGCCGCGTCCGCGGCCGGGCTCCGCTCCCGCCGCGGGCGCGCGCTCGGGTGCAGAAACTCGGGTTTCCGCCGCCGGGTCTTTGCCCGCCTGGCTGCGTGGAGGCTCGACCGCCCGGCGGAGCAGGCCGGGGAGAGAGGGTTTGGTCCTTGGACCCTCGGGAGGGTACCTGGGTTGCGGTCTGTGGGACCCTGGGAGGGGACATGTAGAGGTTCTGCGGGACCCTAGGCTCTGTCCAAACCCGAGAGGAGGGGAGAGCACGTGGGTGGAAGTCAGCGTCCGAGTCCTTCTTGCTCGGTGCCCCCCTGGAATCCTCTGTTGGGCCTAGTGTCGCTGCCCTCCGCCTGGGGAAGCCGGCGACCTGTCCTGTCTCTTGGCCGTAGTAAGTCTCCGGACCGCGACTCCGCGGCCTCCTTGGAGACGCACTTTTCGCTGTCTCCCGAGGCGAGGTTGGGACCCGGACGCACCTTCCCTCTGCCCACCCTCACCCGTATCTGGGCTCCTGGAGGGGCGGGCTCCTCGAACTGGCCTGGTGTGACAGCCACCCAGCTGTCATCTGTGTGCACCTGAGAAGCGCTCCGTTCGTCCCCCACGAACTTGAGTGGCTCAGTGTTCCTACTTGGCTGAGTCGCACAGTAAGTGCGGAGAACGCCCGGATGGCACCCTCGCTCTCAGTATTCAAAACTTAGTGGTGCCGGCTCCTGGGAAAGCGTCCCGGGGCTTTTCTACGTTTTTTCTCCGCAGCCCGTTTCTTTCCAAGCCAGAGTCCTGCTCTGCTGCGGTGGGCGGGAGCCTTGGTTGAATAAGCTCCCGGGTTAATCTATTGATGTTCCCTTTAAGTTTATGCAGTTATGCCTGGGTGTCCTGCCCAGGGAGTGCCAAGCCTGGAGGAAGGGCGTGGAGCCAGCCGAGGTCTAGGGCTGGGAAATGCACGTGACTGGCTGTGGAAGGGGGTGGAGGCTCAGAGGCACTGGGTGCCTTAGTAACCCACCGAACTCCTGTCTGACACCCCCCCCCCCCATCCTTCCACTGTACCTTTAGGTGAAGAGAGTTTTAGCTTCAAACTTAAATATAAACAGCATTAGCTTTTCCAGTGCTGACAATCTCCCTTTTTTCTGCCATTCTTCAGCCCCTTTTCTTCCTCCCCCCACTCCACTTCAGGACTGGGCTCTTGCAAGGGACTTGAACCCAGTGCCACTTGCAGCCTGGAACAAGCTGATGCTCAACCACATCTGCTCAAGTATAAATCAAGTCAAAGTGCTTACAAATGTCCCTCACAAACCACTGGGATCTGCAACAGCCTTTTTTCTTAAAAAGTCTAGAGCCACAGCATCCGACTGTCTGAGTCTCCTGTGTACAGACCTGGAAAGCTGGTGTGTCCAGTGTCCCGAGCACGTCAGGCATGGCACGGGGCCCAGCATAACGGACAGACAGGTCTCACAGTTGTGGTAGACGGAGCAGCTCACACAGCTCAGTGCAGTGCTAGGCCTTGGGGTGCATGGTGGCCCCTCTGAAATCCTTCAGGGTGGGTGTCCTTTCTGGCGGGTCCTGAGACAAGCAGAGGTGAGGAGGGGAAAGATGGTTTCCTTCGTGGTGAAGAGGAAAGGTGGCAGTGAGGGTGGGCTGCACCGGCTGGAGGGAGCGGAGGTGCATCTGTGAGGCAGAGGTCGGCGGGCAGCCTGCACACTGGCCAGGCTAGCGGTCGGGTGGCCTCAGTCTGCAGATGCCCTGAAAGCGTCGACAGGGGGAATGCGCAGGCGGCTGCCTGGTGTTTCAGGGCTTGGGCGTTGAAAGGAAGCCAAGGGGCTGCACCCTCGTGCAGGCGCGTGTGACCTGGTCATTCTCAGGCAGCTGGCGGGAGGGGATGACATCTGCAGACCCACAGACCCAGCCGTGGGGCAGGGAGAGGAGGGCCTTCCTCCATGGGACCTAGGCTCCGGGTGCTCTGAGGTCCCAGCGAAGTGGAGAGGGAGCTGGTGTGTAGCCCAGGACCACCGAGGTTCCAACGACTGAAAGTGTGTTGGTGTATGCTCCAGTTGTGTTGGTAGTCGGTGACCGGTCCTAGAGGGTGTCCCGTGCGTGGGTGAATGTGGGTGCTGTGCCCTGTCGGGGGTGCACCCTGGGAGCTGCACTGTCTCCACCTGGTCTCCAGGCGTCTATTGCAGAACATCTTGCTGTGCATCCTGAGCAGGTGCCCAGACCCATCCTGAGCTGGCACTCGGAACCTGGTGGGCCTGAACTGCATGTCCTTCTTGCCCCACCCACGCGTCACCCTCCTGGCACCCACTCCCCTCACAGTGGCTGCCTTTGCCCGTCCTGCTCGCTCTCTCACATGTGTCTTTCTCCTGTCCTGGCGACCTGGGGACGTTCCCTCACCCCCCTTACCTGCCTCCTCACCTGCTGAGTGTGGCTCTTCCTCCTGGGTGCCCGGCCCGTGCCCCCGTGACACTGACAGCCGTCTTTCTGGAAAACCCGACCATCACTCCCTCGACGCCCTGCAGTCTCCACCGAGACACTGGTTTGTTTCAGGAGGAAGCCGCAGCACACAGGAGAAAGACCGTGTGGTGTGCGCCGGCACGCCCGTCCCGCATATGGCTGCGGCCCTCTCCATGGTGTAGCCTGTATCCTGTCCAGAGAGCCCCTCTAGTTCCTGGGGGCTCTTTGTGCGTCCAGTGGGACTGCACTGTTGTCCATGGGGTCTGGGACCTGTGGTGAGAGGACGTGTCACAAAAGCAGTTTGGATGCAGGCTCGGGGACAGGCAGCGGAGTGCAGGCCCTGTGGTGCCTGCATGGACCGGCCGTGGCCTCCCCAGAAGCCTTATCTGGGGTGGTGGGCACTGTGTGCCCACATGCCCCTGTCCTCGGTGCAGGGACCCTGTGTGGCACCACGCTCTCGGTGGGCTCTGCACTCCCTTGGCCGTCACACCGAGAGTTGCTGCTTTTCATGGTCCCCCAGAGTCTCACTGGCTGTGACTCGGAGTGGAGGGGTGTGGGGCTGTGGTGTGTCTTCAGTTACAGTTTTCATCCTTCTCAGTGATTTGCGTAAGCTGAGGCGGAGGCACAGTATTTTCTGTTTTAATTCCTGTGTCATTTTAAAGGTTATCCAGCTCCTGAAGGCCGGGAAAGCCAAGGAGGTGTCCTACAATGCACTGGCCTCGCACATCATCTCAGAAGACGGGGACAACCCGGAGGTCGGGGAGGCCCGAGAGGTCTTTGACTTGCCTGTCGTGAAGGTCGGTAGCATGTCTGGTCAGTTCTCTGTGTTCTGCTGTGCGTGTGCAAAGCACTGTGTGGAAATTAGGGTGGAGCTTGTCAGCGTTGGCTGGCGCTGGGCGGAGGGAGCTACAGGGGGCTGGTGCCCTTCCCATCTCAACAGTGACTGGCCTCCAAGACTTCAGGCTCAGTCTCTGGGAGGGCCAGCACCCCAGTCCCCTATCCATCTGCACACTCACCCTCTTTCAGAAATGGTCAGGCCAGGGGGCCTCACGTGGGCCCTCAGCGCAGGGGCTGCAAGCCCCACGGCCTGGAGCCCAACCCTGTGGCGGGGGTTGTGTGTGTGAGGCCCTGAAGTGAGGCTTGTACGTGAGGAAAGGCCCGTGGTTTGTGGTGTGTGTACACACGTGTGTGTGCGCACATGCAAACTGCTCGAACTGGAGTGTGCAGGAGGAAGAGGAAGGAAGCACTGAGTGTGTCTGCCAGCGAGGAGCTGCTTAGGCACAGCAACATCGAGGCTGCTGGAAGCAGGTCCTCACCTGCAGAGCCAGGGGGCTGTGACCGCCACAGAGGCAGCCTGGGCCTCACAGCCCACCAATGGGGTTGCCACGTGGGGCGCTTTCGTGGCCTCGGCTCCTGCTCTGGCTCTGGGCTGAACACAGCGGTCTCCTCTGAGTTGCAGACAAGTTGCGTCTTGGTGCACCGGGCTTCCGTGCAGGCCACGTGGGAGGCTTGGGGCCCGGCCTCGCAGTCATCACCACTTTGCTGGCCCCTCTTGCTCTGTCCCCACCTGGGGCCCCACCAGCTTTAGGGCTTGAACACGAGCCCCCAGCTCAATCTTGTTCCCCGATGTCAGCATCCTGGCCTGCGGGGCTGGACGGGCAGCACCACGCACCCCAGGACTCCTGGGTGTGGCCAGGATGCCCATGCTCCTTGAGGGGCGGGGCCTCCTGGGGGGGTTGGGCTGAGCCCAGCAGGTTCCCCTGTGTGCACGATGCTGAACCTGGCAAATGCATTTTGTGTTTTTTTTTAAAATTTTTTTATTGATTATGCTGTTACAGTTGTTCTATTCCCCCTTTCATTCCCCTCCACCCTACCCCCCTATCCCCACCATTACCCCCCCCTTTAGTTTATGACCATGTGTCTCAAGTCCTTTAGATTCTATATTTCCCATGCTATTCTTGCCCCCCCCATCTATTTTCTATCTACTGTCTATGCTACTTATTTTCTGTACCTTTTCCCCCCTTCTCCTCCTCCCACTCCCCTGTTGCTAACCCTCCTTGAGATCTTCATTTCTGTGTTTCCACTCCTGATCTAGCTGTTCTTTTAGTTTGCTTTTGTTTTAGGTGTGGTTGTTAATAACTGTGAGTTTGCTGTCCTTTCACTGTTCGTTTCTTTAACTTCTTTTTCTTTTTTTTTTTTAACTTCTTTTTCTTAGATAAGTCCCTTTAATATTTCATATAATAAGGGCTTGGTGATGATGAACTCCTTGAATTTGATCTTATCTGAGAAGCACTTTATCTGTCCTTCCATTCTAAATGAAAGTTTTGCTGGATAGAGCAATCTTGGTTGTAGGTCTTTGGATTTCATGACTTGGAATACTTCTTTCCAGCCCCTTCTTGCCTGTAAGGTCTCTTTTGAGAAATCAGTTGACAGTCTGATGGGGACTCCTTTGTAGGTGACTGTCCCCTTATCTCTTGCTGCTTCTAGAATTCTTTCCTTCATTTTAATCTTGGCTAATGTAATTATGATGTGCCTTGGTGTGTTTCTTCTTGGGTCCAACTTCTTTGGTACTCTCTGAGCTTCCTGTATTTCCTGGAAGTCTATTTCCTTTGCCAGATTGGGGAAATTCTCCTTTATTATTTGTGCAAATAAGTTTTCCACTGGTGGCTGTTCCTTTCCCTCTTCTGGTACCCCTATAATTCGGATGTTGGAGTGTTTAAAGATGTCCTGGAGGCTCCTAAGACTCTCCTCATTTCTTTGAATTCTTGCTTCTTGACTCTTTTCTGTTTGGCCATTATTTGCTTTCTTCTGGTCCACTCCATTGATTTGAGTCCCAGTTTCCTTTTCATTGCTATTGGTGTCCTGTGCAATTCCATTCATTTCAATTAGTTTCGCCTTCATATATTTGTCTAATTTGTGGCTATAATCAAGCAGTTCTGTGAGGATCCTGATCACCAGTGTTTTAAACTGTGCGTCTGAGAGTTTTGCTATTTCTTCATCGCTTAGATCTATAAGGCTCTGGGGCTTTGAGATCTTCTTGCGCCATTTTTGGTCTGTTCGTGCCCTTTATGTGTGAGAAGTGGCGCCTTGGACTCCCAGGTCGCTAGGTTGTGACGCTGTATGTGGGGGCGTGGTCAGAGCAGGGAAATGGCGACCCCCTCTGCCGCTTCTCACACCTGGGTGCGGAGGATCAGCGCCTTAGGTGGTTCACCTGGGCAGGGCCACTCAGAGTCGCTGGGTTATGACGCTGTATGTGGAGGTGGGGTCAGAGCAGGGAAATGGCGGCGCCCTTCCTGCCGCTAGCTGCGGGGGACCCGCCGGGCCCGGTCCAACTGCCCACTCCCTTGCCTGTCCACCCGCGCACAAATGCACGACCACAGTCAACATGCAGCCCCGCTTCCCCGCTGTCTCCCCCGCGGTCGCATGCCTGGTCACTAGCTCGGTCGCTCACTAGGTCCAATCCTGCGCCTGGATTCTGCACGTCTGGATTCTGCTCCTGAGTCCGTCTGACCGAGTTTTCCTGTGCAACCCCGCCTCACCGGCCGCTGGTTTCGCTCCTTACCGGTCAGGCTGAAGAATTTGTTGTTAATGGACTTCCGAAAAGTTCAATTTTCCGTGTTCTGGCTGTGTTTTCTGTTGCTAATATTTAGTTGTCTCTAAACTTGGTTGTGTGAGAAGGCACAGCACATCCACCTATGCCTCCATCTTGGCGGAAGTCTGGCAAATGCATTTTGAAGAGAAGGCCTTCTCATGCACCGTGACGGGCGACCTGCCTGCTGCACATGAGTTTTATAGACACTTAAGTACTTGCTTCTCTAGGCACTGGAACTTTATCAAATATTTTCTTCAGCAGCCCTGGGGCATCACAGGGAATGTTAACTGTGCTGATTTGCAGTGGGTTGATTTAACGCTGTTCCTTGCATTTGGGATAAATATCTCCTGATGGCTGGTTTCCTCATTCTCCATTCCTGCTTTGTTATTTGTGGGAGGACATGGTGGCCGCTGGCCCCATGGTCTGTGAGTGGGTCCCCTGCCGACCCCACCCGTGGTCCCAGGAACAGCTCTGGGGCAGGCACTGCACAGAGCGCCGCGGGGGCCCTTCCGCAGCGGAGCTCAATTCCTGTCACGGCCGCCCCACTCCCATTGCCCACCGTTGCCCCCCAGCCCTGCGACATGACTGTGCTCAGCACTGAGACCCCACAGGTCACTCTGGGTGGGGCACTCTAGAGACCCTGGCTCCTGAAAAGCCACCTGGTGCTCAATGATGCAACCCGGGAGCTCCAGGGGTGCTTCTGCGGTGCTGCTGCTGAGGCCAGAGTGGCTCATGGGGCAAAGGCACACTGAGGGCGGGAAGGTCACAGCCATGTCACCACGTAGGTCCCAGTCGGCTTCACCTGGGTCTGGAGATTGGCTCGAAGCCAACAATGTGGAGCCAAGCTGGGCACAATGCTTCTCCTCGGCTGGTGCCCTACGTCCGGTCAGCCGACTGCATGCACACCGGCTGTCAGGCTGTCCACAGTGACCGTGCCCCGCAGAGCTGCCTCTGTGGCGCAGAGGCGTGGCCTTCCTACATGCTGTTACTGGCTGGTGGCCTCTCCCAAGGTGCTTTGCTGGCAGCGACCGGTGATGTGAGGGTTGTCAGCGTGGAGCTCCAGCTGCCTGAGCACGAAGACCACGCATCCATCCTCAGCGTGGCGCCCAGCCCTGTGCCATCTCTGCCGCCCAGTGGCAGGGTGCGGGCTGGCGAGGAGCCGGTGTCTCAGCCAGCTGAGCCAGTGAGGGTGGTGTCACAAGGCTTTTACGGGGTAATACTCTGCAGCAGAGCTATCGGCACGATTCCTGTAATTTTCAAAATTAAATAGGGAAATACAAGTTATCAGAAGGTAGTGATTAACCGAAGGTTTTACAGGTAATCCGAGGTTTAGAATTCAGAGGAAGTTGCCTTTCATGGTTTGCTAACCGAGCACCTGCTTGGCTTCACTGAAGAAAGCTCACAGGCTCAGCCCTGATCTAATCCAGGGGCAGCAGGACCCCAGAGGGGCCGGGGTACACTACACGCGGTGTGCGTGGCAGCCGTCCTACCCGCCCCTCCGTCAGGAGCACGGCGGTGTCTCCACCAGCCTGCAGGCTTAACGCAGTGACTCGCATGTCAGCCCGGGTTAGATCTTTACTCTCGATTTTGGGCCTTTCTCCTGGGGCATTAGCAGTGCATCTTCCACCGACACCCAGGGTGCGTAGGGGGCGTCACAGCCAAGCCTTTGTTTGCAGGAGCAGCACTCGTGCAGAGTGTGGGCGTCGTGGTGATGGGGGCAGCGCCCGCTGACCTGAGCCTCTGTTTTCTCTTCACAGCCGTCCTGGGTGACCCTGTCTGTGCAGTGCGGAGCCCTCCTGCCGTATCCTTTTTGTCGGGGGATCAGGGGGCAGGGGTCTGAGGGCTTGCGGGGGGCGCCTGGGCAAAGAGTGGGTTTGGAACACGCCGTGCCATGTGCATGCTTTGTCCTGCCTGTCCTCCCGCATTGCGTGTTGTGTGCCGACCCCTGGCCTGACCCGTGGGAGAGGGGGAGCAGCCATGCTCCAGGCTGGCACATGGGCATGAGTCCCAGCCCTCCAGCCCCCCGCCCTGGACACGGCTGCCTGACCTCAGGTCCTGCTGCTTCGGGGCTCAGAGCCCTATCTGAAACGACCACTCCTTCGGCATCTGGTTAGGTAGCGTGTGTTCAAAGTTCTGTGTGTCTGCAAGTCAGGTGACGAAGTGTTTGAAGAGCAGGAGGGGGGAGGTTTTATTTATTTTTTTATTGTCTCCCAAGGATGTTTATTGGTTTTCAGAGAGAGAGGGAGACACACACACACACACACACACACACACACACACATCTGTCAGTTGCCTCCGGTGCGCCCTGACTGGGAATCAAACCCATAGCTTTTTGATGTCTGGGACAATGCTCCACTGAGCTGAGCCATGAGGCCGGATGGGTTACTCTCCCTCATTTTGCCGGTAGAGGTTCATCTGTTTGGTGCATGCTGAGTGCATGCAGTGGGCTGGGCATAGCCTGCAGAGGGTGGGCAAGGCCTCATGTCTGTCCCTCCTGCCCTTCCTGAGGGACACTTGGGCCCCAAGGCCTCTGCAGGCCCCTGCAGGCCCCTGGCCTGTCACCCAGCTCTCCCGGCTCTTGCTTCACCTGGAAAGTGGGAGGCATCCTCCACGAGAGAGCCCCTCCGGGCAGCACTGGGTTTGAGACCCCCACGAGGGGCACGGGAGGCCCCAGCAGGTGTGATGTGAAAACGTCAGGCGCGGGCAGGGTTCTGTGAGTCCACACCCTGCTCTGCTGCGGGCCGGGGGGTCTGCGGACGCACCCGTCCTTCCTGCAGTGATGTGGGAGTTTGGTGTCCTAGTGTCGAGAGCGTTTGCAGGGGCCTCAGACAGATGGCAGGTGTCCCTCCCTCTACCAGCAGCTCTTGGGTGGTGGAGAGGACTTGTGGGAGGCCATCTCGGGAACCATAGGTGTCCCTTCCATGGCGTAAAGGGTTAAAGGAAGTGGGCCTCTGGTTTTGTTGCGTGGTCTGCTTTCTTCACAGATGCAGGTGACAAGGACTGGGACAGGGTACCTGGGACTATAGGAGGCTCGTCCTGCTGCTGTGGCCGCCCCCGCCATGGGAGCCCCTTCGGGAGGCCTCATCTTGGCATGCTCCCTGCCCACCCCCCAGGGGCTCGGAGGGTCCTAGAGGGAGCCCGGAGACTGGCAGGCCACATGCCTCAGGTCTCCCTGGGCCAAGGTGGGAAGCTCAGGAAGTGGGGCGGAGGCGTGACATCGGGGTGTTCGGGGCTCCCGGCAGTCAGGCAGGCTTGGCCTTCGTGGGGTTTCTCGGCAGGCCTGGGCCTCCTTTCTGAGCCTCCTTTCTCACTTCACCTGACTTGGGGGACACACTGTCCCCTCATTTTCTCGTGGACACGGCCGACAGCGTGGGCATCTGCACTGCACACCCGGGCCGGGCTCAGTGCGTGGTCAGGCCGACTGTGGGAAGAGCTCTGCCCCAGGTGCCTCTCAGGCTTTGCAGGGGGTGTCTCCGCACTCCCGGTGGAAGCGCCCCCCCCCCCCACCGGGACGTGGGCCTGGCAGCTGGCTCCGGGGCTGGGTGTCCGTGTGTCGGGAGTGCACCACGCAGGACACTTATGCCCCAACCTTCTGCCCATTCGTGCTGCTCTCAGTCCCCTGGGTCTGTCACTCCCCCCGGCGGGTGGGGGTGGGGTGTGGGGGAGTCTGCTGGGAGAGGTTACCGCCCCGATCCTGCTGCGTTGGAGCCTTAACAGAGGCGCCTCAGCGTGAACGGGTTTTCTCCGGAGTCCAGCCAGGTCTTCTTCGGGATCACCGCCTGTCTATCTCAGGTAAGTGTGCTCCTGGTTCCCGTCCCTTGGGACCGCGTGTGCCGGGGGCCAGGCCTGCTGGGACGCCCGCTTCAGGGAAGCCCTGTGCCACGCTGCCTGTTCCGGGTGATCCGTGCCACATGTTGTTGTTCAGGTGTGTACGTGGCTTTGGTGGGTGAGGGCGGGCTCTCCGGTGTAAGAGTGTCGCAGATGTGGGACTTGGGAACGGAAACACAGTGAAGGTGAAATTACCAGACGGCAAAGAGGATTCCGTCACAAGTACAGAGAACTCCCTTACTGAGTGCAGGGCTGACACAGGCCCAGGGGGAGAGCTCCGCCCCCGTAGGCACAGCAGGGAGTGAACGCACCCCGTTCTGCAGAGAGGGGGCACAAGACATGAGCATGCCTCGAGCAGTGACGGCGGCCGGGCACAGCGGTGGAGAGGTTGCAGAGCTGCTGTGGGGAAGTAATTATGCAAAGCAGAAGCGTGTTAAAGGTGAACTACCAGCCGAGCGCTGGAGGACACTCCTGGTTGTAAGAGACAGACCGAGGGTCGCATCGAGCCTGGGCACGCACAGTGGTGGTTGCCCAGCCCCGGGACCTGCTGCGGGGAGCTGCCCAGGGGCGTCAGAACTGGAGGAAAGGCAGAAGGGAGAGCAGGTGGGGAACTAGGGGGGCCCTTCAAGGTGGAATCCTGCCCTAAGACATGAGTCTTTGCCAGGTGGGATTGGGGTTCACGGTCAAGGCTGAGCTGGAGCCCTGGGGCTCCAGTCCTGTGCTGCAGCGACAGGGTGGGGTGGGGGGACAGGCACACAGGTGCTAAGGGACAGCAGCGGCAGCTGGGCTGTCCCTTGGGTGGGAACCAGCGAGGTGGGTTGGGCTTGGGCTCACGGTGCGGGGTGAGGGTCACTGGGGCTGGATGTGGGTCCGAGCACACATGAGGGAGTGCCACTTGGAGAGGGGCTGACCACAGCCAGACGGGTCCAGAGTGCCGGGGACGCCACGGTCAAGGCTGTGGATTTAGGCTGTGGATTTCAGCCGTGAGCACAGAGGAGACCCCCAGGCTCTGCCCTGCAGATGGGGGTAGAGTTTAGAAAGGCTGCTTTGAAGGAAGAAAAGAAAAGCACTTGCCCCAGTTACAAACTTTGGAAAGTACGGAAAAGTGCAGAAGGTGGAAACGAGGTGTCCCCACGGTGCTGTCACCACTGGGTGACTATTGATGCTTCAGGCACAGAGAGCAGTCTTGTCGTCAGCTGTGCATGCTCGGATCCATTCAATGAGCTGGCGGGGCTGCGGGAGGTCACTGAGGCCCAGCAGCTGTGGATGGTGGTCTGGGCCTTGGAAGTTGTCCTTCCCGGGTTACGTACTTACTTCTGCAGGTCCTGTGTCTGCCCCGGTCTCCCTGCCTCCCTGCCCGCCCATGGACGTTCTTTCCACACTGAGGCGCTGCGCCTGTGTGACCCAGGCCCTCGACCAGGCCGGGGAGGGTCAGGATGGCCGTCACCGCCCGCAGTCTGGTGGGGGCAGCGCCTCGCTGACCTAGGCACCTGCGGATCACTCTCCTCGCTTCAGTGGGGCTGTGAGGGGGTGTGTTGGCCCTGCTGCCCGGAAGCCAAGTCCTGCTCTGGGAGACGCAGAGGGGCACGGTCGGGGGGACGCCTCTGATGCAAACAGTCATTCCACCCAGTTTTCCCAAGTGTGGCCTTGACTCAGTTGAAGAAAGGTGTGCGGTGGTGGTTTCTAATGGTGGTTTTGGAAAGTTGACGTGTCCTCGTCTGCCTTCACAGAGCAGAGTGGGAGGCGCAGGGACCTCTCCTGCTGTTTGTAGAGCCCTTGAGAGCAGAACGTCAGGTGTCTGGCAAGCTGAGCAATGGCAATGAAAAGGAAACAGTGATGCTGTTTATCAGTACGCTTAAGGAACTAGCTTGAGACGTGTCAGAATTCCTTTTTTTTAAAGATTCTATTTATTTTTAGATGGGGGAAGGGAGGGAGAAAGAGAGGGAGAGAAACTTCAGTGTGTGGTTGCCTTTTGCACGCCCCCAACTGGACACCTGGCCCACAACCCAGGCATGAACCCTGACTGGGAATCGAACTGGCAACCCTTTGGTTTGCAGGTCAGTACTCAGTCCACTGAGCCACACCAGCCAGAATCACACTTTAGAATTTTTAATCATAACCCTGAATTTATAATAAGTTGTCCAGATAAAGTTGACTTGCTTCAATGATGTTTTAGAATGAACACTGACACTTTTATTTTTCTTAAATGTTTGTCTCCCAGACTCTGAAAGGTTCTTCTTCAGGGTTAGTTTGGGTGGGACCTGCCCTGAGAGCAGAGCAGCAGAGCAGAACCTCGGGCAAGCGGTCGGGGTCGGGCCGGGGGCCAGGCCTGGCTGCTGGCAGCCAGAGTTTCCCAGCGTTGGCTGTGAGTTTCTGAGTTCGTTTCCTTCTCTGTGACCTGCTGCCGCCCCCTGCTCCCACGGTGGGGAGGGCGGTGGGCACCCAGTCCATGAGTGCAGTGTCAGGGTCGCTGGTTTGGTGCTTGTCCCGTTTCTGTTTTTGTGTTGCTAGACTTGTGTTTTTCCCAGAGCTGACAGACCACTGTGCTCTTCCCTTTTAAGTTTGGCTGCTTTGTGGGTAACGTTTGTTTGGGGTCCGTCAGTGATTAAGGACCTTCTCACGCGTGATGTTGACAGCGCTCCTGCATCAGAGCTTCGACGCGGCACAGTTGGGAGGTGGCCTGCGTGCTGGGTTTCCTGGTGTTTCCCCCGTGTTTTTGTTGCAGAAGGACTAGTATTCCGTCTTGGGAGGGTGGGTGCGGTGTGTTCTTGATTCACTCATTTGGTGAGCAGGCGAAACGAGAAGTGGTGTGCGTGGAGCTGTGATAGGACTGACGCTGTCTGTCAGTGTGAGCGAATAGCCGGAACCTCGGCTGTGTTCCGCACGTGCGCGCTCAGGCTGATGTCCTCCCATAGGGGAGGAAAGTGGGTAGAGCAGCACGGGTCCGGGTCGCGGTGTGTTTCACGGCGCACAGATGTGCCGACGGCCGTGAGTGACGCGGGCCTGTCTCCGGTTTCGCCAGGTGTCCCCTGAGGACAGAAACTCCCTGTGGGCCCTGCTGACCTTCTACGGGGGTGCCTGCCAGCTGAGCCTCAACAGGAAGTGCACGCACCTGGTGGTCCCGGAGCCGAAGGGGGTGAGTGCCGCTCTGCGCGTGCGCGAGTCTCTGGGCGCTGCGTCTCTGCGCATGCGCGTCTCTGGGAGCCGCTTTTTGCCTTGCTCGCTAGACCCCGTTTGTAAACGTGGGTCCTGTGAGTTCACCGCGCTTGTCCCGGGCGGGGAGCCGTGATGGGTGTGGGGCGACGGGAAGTCTACTCTGAGCCGGGTGTCACTTCTGCACTCACAGAAATCGGGGTTGGTTTTAGGGCGAAAAGAGGAAAGTTTTTTGACTCTGGAGTTTCCTTTCAAACCCAGTAAAACAAGTTCATTTTCACTTGTGAAGATACGTAGTTGCAGTCCTCTTCACAGCTTTTTGAAAGGCCTGAGCATAACTGTAAGCGTGTGTTTAGTGACTTTTCAGGTGATTTCCTTCTTAGTCTCCCAGAATCTGTAAAAACGTGCTTCCCTTGATCAGCACCACCCCATATCCCTACACCCAGGGGGGGCCCCAGGGCTTGCTCCCCGGTGGAGGACCCCCAGGTCAGCAGGACAAGCCCCCCGCCTCTTGCCCCCCACCACAGTTGTTAGAGACACATGCAGATGGTCCCAGCGGCCTGTGCCGTAGCCACTGCCTGGTGCTGGCAGGGTGGAGTTTCCATGCCCTCTGGGTTCCTCGAGGCCCAGAACTCCGTGCCCTCCGGGTTCCCCGAGGCCGAGGCCCGAGGCTCTGGAAGGCACACCTGTCCCCCATGAGTGACAACGCAGGACCGCAAGTCAGGTGCACTGTGCAGAGTGGAAAGGCTCTGGCCAGCGGCCTCTCCAGGTAGCCGCTGGTCCTCTGGCTGTTCTCACTGCCGCCACTCCCAGGAGCCTTGTCGTGGGTGCTGTGTCTGATCGCCATGACTCCAGGGAGAACTGGGTGGGGTGGCTGGCAGGTGGCCGCCTGCTGGGGGGCCCTGTTAGAGTTGGAGGCTAAGGGGGCCCCGAATGCTGCGCTGGCCGCGCTGCTGTCCTGACATGAAGGTACAGGCAGAGCCAGCAAGTGTGGTGGGGGCGCAGTGAGCCCCACAGTCCCAGAGAAATGCCTCCTCTGAAAGTCAGCGTGTGAGCCTGAAGTTCCGTTTAAGTGAAAACTTATATTTTGCATAAAATTGGAGCGAGGAGCAGCATGCTTCGAGGGAAGAGTAGGGGCTGGCCTCGTGTCCGCGTTGGGTCTCAGCTGAGAGGAAGCCGTTCTGCGCCCTGTAGCCAGCTGGCCCTGGAGCTGCTCTCTAGGCATTTGGGGTCGACGTTTGTCTGCTGTTAGCAGCCTAAAGTCCACCCCTCCTTTGTCCTGTGATGCCCATCATGGGCCCTCAGCGGTCAGAGAGCTCTCTGTGTCCCTCTACCCATTCCTCCCCTTGCCAGGAAGCCCCTGACGTCCTGTGGACGCCCTGCTCCCGGCAGCGTGCTCCCACTGAGAACTCGGGGACTCGTGCCCTTCAAAAGAGGGCGTTTCGTGGGGCTCACAGTGCTGCTCTTGTACCTGAAACATCGCTTATAAAAGTTAATTCTGAACGTGTTTCAAGGAGATGCCTGTCGTGGGCATGAGACTGTCCAGTGGTCCCCGAGCCACACTTTGGGGCATGTTCCTGGTTGCAGAGCGGAGTGAGCGCTGTGGTGGCGGTGGCGGTGTGTGGAGGCCGGTCGCTAACACGCGTGTGCTCTGTCTAGGAGAAGTACACCTGCGCACTGAAGAGGCCCGGTGTCAGGGTCGTCACCCCCGACTGGGTGCTGGACTGCGTGGCAGAGAAGACCCGGAAGGATGAGGCGTTCTACCACCCGAGGCTGATTCTCTATGAGGAGGAGGAGGAGGAGGAAGAGGAGGAGGAGGAGGAGGTAGAGAACGAGGATCGTGACTCCCCGAATGAGGGCAGTACGGATGACAAGTCAAGCCCCGCCAGTTCTCGGGAAGGGTCCCCGTCGGGGGACCCGCAGTTCTCCCCCAAGGTGGGTGCCGTGAAACCGAAGGGGGAGCTGATGTTCGATGATTCCTCGGACTCGTCCCCGGAGAAGCAGGAGAGGAACCTGAACTGGACGCCGGCGGAAGTCCCGCAGGTGGCGGCGGCCAAGCGCCGGCTGCCGTCGGGCAAGGAGCCGGGCCTCATCAACCTGTGTGCCAACGTGCCGCCCGTCCCCGGGGGCATCTTGCCTCCCGACGGCCGAGGGGGCCTCCTGGCCTCCGGGCCCAGCCTGCAGAGCTCCGAGAGGCCGGACGTGGCGGCCGCCTGGAGCCCCGCCGTGCGGACCCTGCGGAACATCACCAACAGCGCGGACGTCCCGCAGATGGGCCGGCCGGCCGACGTGGCGCACGTGAGTCCGGTTCACCTCCCACCCGCGTGCTGCTCCTGGGACAGCAGCCGGTGTTGTCCGGGGGCCTCGGGAGGGCAGCCCCCGTGCAGACAGCCAGGCGCCCTGCCGGCCTCTCACACACTTGCCGCGGCATCACTGTCGGGGTGCCCTGGGCGGGGCCCACACCCCTGCCTGCGCTGTGGCTGCAGCCTTGGCGTCTGGGTCGCAGCTGCGGCCCTGCCCAGCCCCATCGTGCTCTGCAGCCCTCCGCCTGCTCCCTGTCCATGCGTCTGTTTCTGTCTGTCCACCTTGTTCTCTAGCTGCCCCACGTCTTTCTCTGTCTGACTCACTGTAAGTCGCTCTTTAGAAGTGAAAACTCGATTGCGGGATTTTAGTCGGGCCTTGCAGCCTGCCTTCCGCTGTTTTCTCCCTTTGGACAGTTTGCCCGCTCGCAGTGCTCACTGTGGGAGGGCGTGAGACTCCTGCACGTGTGTCCGTGTGAGTGCGCCTGCATTTTGTCATGAAGGAGGGAAGGGTCTACCTGGAGGGGACGGCGCACCCCGCGGACAGGTAGGCCCTTGTCCTTGCCAGCAGGTAGGCCTGCCCAGGAAGGCCTGGGTCCGTGGCAGCCTGCTCTCCTGGGAGCTCCCCTCTTGCTTGGTGGCAAAAGGAGTGAACTCTGTCCTCTCTCCTTTCTCATGACGGACCTCACGTGGGTGACTGACACCGCAGACTCATCCGTCCCTGGGGCGCCTCCCCCCACTGGCAGTTCTGTGGTGGGAGCCCGCTGGTGTGGAGTGGCTGCAGTGTCCTCAAGTGGGTTTGTCTGTGGCATAGAAAGGAGGGGCGGGGGGGGCTGCCTGCAGTTCTGTGGGTGCTGGAGACAGACAGCAGGTCCACGGGTCCCTGCTCCCGCTCAGGGGCAGGGACGGACAGACGGCACTCAGCTCTGAACCAAGGGCTTTGGTGTGCTGGGGGTCAGGAGACAGCAGTGGGGGTCAGGAGACAGCAGGGGAAGGAGGCAGGTTTTAAACAATAGTTTACTTTCTCAGGGAGAGGGGAAGGGAGGGAAAGAGAGCGAGAGGAACGCGGACGTGAGAGAGAAACAGTGGCCGGTTGCCGCTCTGTGCACCTGGACCGGGGAGCAAACCTGTGGTGGGGCCCTTTGGGGTGCGGGCTGGTGCTCAGTCCACTGTGAGCCTCAGCAGTGGGGGTGGGGCAGGGAGGCCGCTTTAGGCCGGGCACCAGGGGAGGCAACAGCAGGCGAGGGGAGTGGCTTGAGCGGACCAGGAGCAAGGCCCCTTGTCCCGGGGGCGTCGGTGCTCACAGTGGTGGAGACGCAGCACCCTGCTCTGCACGTGGGGCCCTGGGTGCCCGGTCAGGAAGGGAGGTGGCAGAGAGCCACAGAGTGGAGTCCCGGCACCGTGGGGCCTTCTGGGAGCAGAGAACAGCCCGGGGGCTGGGCCCTCAGGGCAGTGGGAGCACCATCGGGGTGCAGGGGGCCGTGTCCCTGCAGGCTGGAAGGCGGCCAGGGGACTTGGGTGGGGTGTGCCCGAGGGGTCTCAGGGCTGGGACAGCCATGGGAGGACCGTGCCCCAGCCCCTAGCACCCTCTTCTTCGTCTTCGTCTTCCTCTTCCTCCTCCTCTTGCTCCCCTTGGTGGGGGGCTCCCAACAGAAGTCGTCTGTGCAGAACAGAATAGAGTGTTTTTTCCAAACACAGTGATTCTTGGTTGAATCTCCAGTTTCTTCGATCCACATGTGGATGTAGAGGTTATGTGGCTTGAACTGAAGTGACTCCCCCAGGGAGCGTGGGCGTCTCTCCCCACGGGCAGGACTTGGGCAGAGGTGGCTGCCCCAGGGGACCCTGGGGGGCGCGCCCGGCCCTGCCTCCGGGGTGTGGTCTGTGAGGCCTCCTGCACAGAGCATCTGCGTGCTCTCAGCGACGTAAGAACACGAGGACGCCCTGCTGCTGACATTTCAGAAACAAGACACACTCAGTGTAAGATTGGATCAGGGACTTGGGGGAACATAGCAAACCCTCAAAATCCTCTTCAAATTGCAGACTTTCAATGGTCGGGAGCCCTGTGGTATGGATCCCATGCTTTCTACACTGCAGCAGCCACTGTTGAGTGACTTACGTGGAGACTGGCAGTTAGGAGGGGAGATTCCTGCCCGACGGACATGGGAGTCCCTGTGTCCAACGTGGCCGGTCACGGCACCGGGCAGTGGAGAGTGTCCCTCTCCCTCAGTTCCTCGGCACCGACAGGCCTGCGTCAGAGGCGGACGGAGGCTGGGAGCCCTGTGAGGACGGAGGTGTTCTCAGGTCCAGCCCAGTGCTGGCCCTCGGCTTCAGGCCGGGTCCTGTCATGGCCGGCTGTCTGTGCTCTCGCTGGCCTCCTTGGCGCACCAGGTCGCGGCCACCTCTTCTTTGGCCAGCCCAGGTAGGCCCTCCGCTCTGGGCAGTCAGCTGAGAGGGGCTGGCCACTGGCGCCCCTACGGCGAGCTTCGTGTGGAGAGCCCTGTGCGGCCGGGGCTGGTGCGCAGGCTCCAGTGGGTGGCAGCCCCCGAGCTGGGCCCCGCGGTTGTGCCCGACGGCCTTTCTTCCCTCACTGCTCCCTGCCGAGTGCCGTGGCTTCCGAGGGTGGCAACACCGAGAGCTGTACAGTGACAGACTCCCTCTCGGGAGGCGCCCCCAGGAGACGCAGGCCAGGCCCTCCCACCCGAGGGACGCCGTCGCCTGTGGGGACGGGGCTGTGGCAGCGTCAGTGCTGCCTGCACTGTGCGTGCACTGTGCCTGCACGGGGAGGGGAACCAGCCACCCTGCTGTCCCTGGGCCATGTGCCCGATCAGGAAGCACAGAGAGTGCTTCCAGGGAGAGGCCCTGTCCGTGAAGCCTCCTTGGAGGTGGGGCTCGGCCTGCACCCGCTCCGCCCTGGGGTCTGCCTCCAGCTCCGTGCTGGGGGCTGCGTCTTCGGCTCCAGAGCCACCGCCTTTGCAGATTAATGGCCTTCACGGTTTGGCGTCAACTTAAGTGGAGGATAGGGGGTAACATACTTGATACTTTTGTACAGCTGCGGTTTACGTTAAAATGGAATTTCTGGAGTTTTATTCCAAAGGCCGAGTAGCAGTGATGGAGCTTGTGTAAGCTGTTCGCTCCTGGCTGCCACTGGCCACGAGAGGTTGCCTTCCGATTCCTGTCATCTGGGCACGTTGGGGCAGCCCGTTGTGTGACATGCCACTCGTGTTCTACTCAGCACCTGGTAGGGTGACAGTCACCTGCCATCAGCACTCGGCTGGCTCCTCTTGCCGCGAGGCAGGGAGGCCCCGGGCGGAAACGGCTGGCCTGTGGGCCTCTTTCTGGTCTGAAGAAGCACTTGCCCCTCTGAAGGCTCCGAGGCGCCGGGAGGAGGACTGAGGACCTTTGTGGGGGGATGCTCACCGTCGGACCAGCCTGCTGCTGGGGCCCGTTCCGTCCCTCAGGGCCAGCGCTCGGGCCGGGCGGCCGCAGATGGGGGGCTGACCGTTGGTGCAGGCCCCTTTCGCTGCTGCTGAGTGGGGCTCTTCATGTTGCGCTGTCTGGGACCCCTTTCTCTGTCACAGCTGTTGGGCATCGCTTGGCAAGGGAGGGTCTGTGCGGGAGGGTGATGTGCTGTGCCCACGTGGCCCGGGAGTGGCGTGGGGTGGAGCACCGTGGGCTGTGCTCTGCCGAGGCCACGGCCACCTGGGGCGCCTTGCCCGTGAGCTCCGGCTCCACGGCCCACTCCCCTCGCCTGACCCCGTGCTAGCAGCGGGGGCTCCGGTGCGACTTCCTTCTGGTGCGTCTACCTGTATTTGCTCGTCGACGCTGGCGAGGCTGGTTCAGCGCATTCAGGGGAGGACGGGTGGGCTGTGGAGTGTGGCAGGCCTGTGCGATGCACTCCTGTCCTCCTGGTTACTGTGTGTGTGCCGGGGACTGCGGTGACTTCGTCTTGTTTTTGGCGTAGATCCTGCAGTCCCTCTCGGCACCTACGAAAGGCTTAGAGCAGCAGGCGAACCACAGCCAGCAGGGCCACGCAGGTGCCGGCACGCTGTTGTTCAGCTCAGCGAAGGGGCCGCCGGAGCCGCATCCGTCGCCACAGACACCGCAGCACCCTGTCATGCACCTGCCACCGCAGGTCATGCAGATCCCGCCGCCGCCTCACCCGTTCCCGCAGCCGCCACCGCCGCACCCGTTCCCACAGGCACAGCCGCACCCCTTCCCACAGCCACGCCCCCAGCACCTTCAGCCCCTGCAGCAGCAGCAGGCCCTGCAGCAGCAGTTGCACCAGCTGCAGCAGCAACAGCTGGCCCAATTACAGCAGCAGCAGCTGCAGCGCCTGCACCAGCAGCAGCAGCAGCAGCAGCAGCAGCAGCAGCAGCTGCAGACCCACTCGGCCCAGCACCTGAGCCAGACTCCGCAGGGGCTGCAGCACCAGGCCCCGCACCCGCCCCCCCTGCCGCAGCCCCCGCTGCCCCCGCAGCAGCTGTTTGGACACGACCCAGCAGTGGAGAGTTAGTAGTGGGTTTTCTCCTTCCTTCTTCTCGAAAGCCTGCTCTTACTTAAATGCCCGGAGCGAGTTTGAGGGTGGTGAGGACTCACGTCAAAGGAACCAGTGCAGAATGGGGCTCTGCGAGAACGGGGCTGTGAGGGTGGAGCCGGTGCTGTCTCAGGTGCCTGGGCCGCCAGACCATCTCTGCGGCCGAGCCAGCTCCTGTGCAGCGGTGGCCTGTGTGCTGGGCGGCACCACGTGGCCTGCTGCCCGAGCTCCCAGTGATCTGGCAGGAGGGTTTCGGGTTCTGTGCATGGATATTCGTGGGCTTCAATCTCCTTTCCTGTGCGATTCCAGTCCCGGAGGAGGGCTTCCTGCTGGGCTGTGTGTTTGCCATCGCGGATTACCCGGAGCAGATGTCTGACAAGCAGCTGCTGGCCACCTGGAAAAGGGTGAGGCTGTGCATCCGAGGGTTTGGTTGGGACTCCTCCCCATCCCGGGTGCCCACCGGAGGGCAGCCCCTCGGCTGCCTCACTGAGACACCCAGGCAGTGTTCTGAGTGTACGCTGGGCTTGGTCGTCAACCTCTTCTATGGCCTTGGCCAGTGACTTCCCTGGGCTTCCGTCTGCTCGGCTATGCAGAATTAGGTGGGGCTTGATCATCGGCAGGGCTCCTTTGACCGTGGCACCCTGAGGGGCACAGATTGCCTGTGTGCAGCAGGGTGTGGGAGTGAGGTCAGGGCCTTGGTGGCACAGAACGAGGACCTCTGACCTCTGAGTGTTTAGTCGCTTCTGTCCCTGCAGAGGCGAGTGCTCGAGGGCCCTGATGCCAGTGTGGCCCTGTGGGGACCGTGCGTCTGTGGGCTCAGTGCGGCCTGCAGCCTGTGGGTTCCTCGATTCGCTTGGTGGCCTTTGAATAAAAGATTTTGTAAATGCCACTCTTGCAACACCACAGATCAGAGTGGAGTCAGAAAGCTTTGGAATGAGTGGGAGTGGGCTTTGGGCGGCTGCCTCCCTGTGGGCTTCGTGGTGGCAGGTGGGCCCCTGCGGTGCCCCAGGCAGGTGGTAGGGCCTGGGGACGACGGGCGGAGCAGCAGGACAGAAAACGGGGGCAGGCAGGGAAGCAGCCCCAGTGGCAGACGGGAGGCAGCCGTGGGTCACTGTCCTTGTGCGTGTCCCGGGGGCCAGGAATGGGCATTTTTGTCACACACCTTGTCCCTCTGTGGGAGTTGCTGTGACAAAACCTAGGAGTTTCAGAAGCGGCCATTGGAGCAGAGCTGGTTTGTGGGTGGCCGGCCTCTCCAGTATCGGTGAGGGCCTTGGTTAGTGCACAGCGTTTCAGTTTCCAGCAGACGCTTGGCGCCTTGTGCCCACCAGAGTGGGGGACAGGGTGGCCCCTCACTCCCAAGCTGGGTCTAGTTTTACACACACTCCTGGTGCCCACTAACACTCTGATTTGCTGTCCCCCCTATAGAATAATGGCCGTTAACGGGCAGTTCTGCCCCCCAGGGCTGCTGGCTGTGTCTGGGGGCATCTCCAGTCGTCCCAGTTGGGGAAGGCTGTTGGCGCCCACCCAGTGGGGGGCCCGGGGCCGCTGACCCCAGGGTGCGAGGGACAGCCCCACGCGCAGAGACCGCCCGTCTGGTGTGTCCTGACTGCCGGACCAAGATGTCCGTTCAGTGAGCGGTGGCCCATCTGCCCCACCCTCCCTCTGGACGCTGCTGTCCACTGACAGGGCGGGGGGGGGGGAGCGTGCACAGAGACACTTCCTGCTTGTCTTTCCGCTTGGGGGGGCCAGCTGTGTAGAGGCAGGGCGGGCTCTGTGGGAGGCCGTGCGCTGCGGGGTGACTGCCGAGCCGGCCCGAGGGTCGCCGCTGACTGCCTGCCTGTGCCGCACGCAGATCATCCAGGCGCACGGCGGCACCGTGGACCCTGCCTTCTCCAGCCGCTGCACGCACCTGCTCTGCGAGAGCCAAGTCAGTGGGGCATTCGCGCAGGTGAGTCGTGCCACCCTGGTTGGGGACGGTGCACCCCAGAGGGCAATGCGCCCCAGAGGGCGATGTGCAGGGGCTGTGGGCGGGGTGGTGACTGGGCCGCAGCAGGAGAAAGGCAGATTTTGGGGGTGCTCTGTCCACAAAGCCCAACAGGCACACGCTGTCCCCACTTGTCCTCCTCTTCCCCACCGGATGTACTGACTTGGGTCCCCGCCCATGTTGTCCTGCACATGAAAGGTGCCCCCAAGGGCCTCTGGAGGAGTGGACCCCCAACTGCCATGCTGGTCGCCCCCACGTGGGGTCCTGGGGGTGCTGGGCACCTGGGTACACTGTGTGTGTTCGTCAGGTCCTCCTGGGCCGTCCTTTTGCAGGTTGCGGGGAGGTGTCTGGCTTGTGTCCTCGGGGCAGGCTCTGGCTCCTGCTCCACAGGCCCCGCCAGCGTCACCCCCTGAGTGAATGGAGCGCTTCCTTCCCCCCTGCCGTGGGGCTGCAGCCTGGCCACCTTCCATGGCCGTGTGCCCAGACCAGCCCTGTTGTGTGTCCGCAGGCCCTCAGGGAGCGGAAGCGCTGTGTGACCGCACACTGGCTCAACTCCGTCCTCAAGAAGAAGCAGCTGCTGCCCCCGCACCGGGCCCTGCACTTCCCGGTGGCCTTCCCCCCTGGGGGCCGGCCGTGTGCCCAGCACGTAAGGCCAGCGTCTGTCGTCGCCACGCGGGCCTGCCTGGCGGGGCGGTGTGCCCGGCGCATCGGCGTCTCTGACGCCATCGGAGGGTCTGAGAGGGATGGGGGCCTGCCCCAGGCGTGGCCGCCGCTGTGTGCCCTTCGCCCGCTTCGTGGTGGGTGGGCCAGGACCGCGAGCGGAGGGCCGACCAACGCCCACACGCCCGTGTCCTCCCTCGTGCACAGAGAGTGAACGTGTGTGCACACGTCCCCAGGGTGCAGCCGGTGGGGGCACGAATCCTGGGCGAGCCGGGCTTCACCGCGGCCGCTCTTCCTCCCAGATCATCTCTGTGACCGGGTTTGTCGATGGCGACAGGGACGACCTGAAGCTGATGGCCTACCTGGCAGGGGCCAAGTACACGGGCTACCTGTGCCGCAGCAACACGGTCCTCATCTGCAGGGAGTAAGTGTGGCCGCGAGGCGCCTTCCCTCGGGCTGGGCGGTGCTGGGCCGCCAGCACGTCTGCTGCTGCTGGCGGGTGGCAGGCATCGCTGAGAGGCAGTCTGTTAGCAGGACGGCAGTGACATGCGTGACGGCGTTCACCCGTGTGCATGAAGCACGGCAAGGGGGTTGGGGAAGGAGTGACACGCACATCACTGTCACTGGGCCACGGGAAGGAGGTGGGACCAGGAGGTGACATTGCATGACCTGGCCTGAGCCTGTGGCGTGACACCTGCCCTCCGCCAGGGCTCCCCCTCCTCTTTGCGGAGGCGTCCTTGCCATTTTCAATATGAGCATGTGTCTACGTGTGTTCACGTGTGTCCACGTGTGTTCATGTGTGTTCACTGGCTCAGTGGGGAGGGGAAGACGCACGTGGACGGCAGGACCGCTGATGCTCTCCGTGCTCTCTCCACTGGGAAGGCCGGCCGGTTTGAAGTACGAAAAGGCCAAAGAGTGGAGGATCCCATGTGTGAACGCGCAGTGGCTCGGGGACATCCTGCTGGGGCACTTCGAGGCGCTGCGGCAGACCCAGCACAGCCGCTACTCGGCCTTCGACCTGCCCGACCCGTTCGCCCCCACCCCGCACCTCGTGCTGAACCTCTTGGGTGAGTGGCGCTGCCCCCCGTGGCCGGCAGCCCCCCGACGTCCCTCCCCTGCTGCCTTCCCCCGCTTCCTGCTGCCGGGCCTTCCCACAGGCGTGGAGACGGCAGGGCCCTCGGGGGTCTCCGGCAGTCGCTGCAGCCCCGAGAGGCCCCGCCCCTGAAGCAGCCCCGGTCCCCTCTGGTGACGTCGGACCCCTGTCCTTGCTGTGCCGCCTCCACCCTCAGGGTGACGGGGGCTGCGCAGATGGCCGTGTGTGCTCGCTGACCGTGGGAGGGCCCGTGCCCCCCACACACACCACAGGCCCTGACTTGCGCGTCCACTGAGCGGGACGTCCTATGGAAAGTGGCCGTTCAAGCCCCACTGCCGGACGCTGCCTTGGGAAGGAGCCCGGGACACGCTGTCCCCAGCGTCATCAGCCCTGAGTGCACTCGCTCCTCTGCTTCTGGCCGCCCTCCGCCCTGTGCCTGCAGCCCTGGCGTGTCTGGGCGTGGCGCCGAGTGGGCACCGTGCCCGTGGTCCTGGGTGTTAGCCCCGCCCGTGCCTGGCCGTCTCACAGTGGCCAGACCTGTCCCCAGAGCGGGTGACCTGCCTCTGCTGCCCTGCTCCTCAGTGTGGCCGTGCACAGGACACGTGGCTGGACGCACACGCCTCCTGGGGAACAGCCCGCTCCTCGGGCCCCCGGACGGGAAGGCTCTCTCTTAACTCAGTGATGGTCCTCACGTTTGTCCTCACGACGCTGTCATGGGGCCCCTGCGTGTCTGGGGTGACGAGCCCCAGAAAACCCGCTCTTCTAGCTAGAAGGCTCTTCGGTGTAAACAGTGCCTGGTAAGAATGATGTCTCTCTCTTCTAGATGCCTGGAGAGTCCCACTGAAAGTGTCCCCAGAACTGTTGATGGTAGGTCCCCCTGGTGCCTGCCCAGGTTGGCCCTGTGTCGTAAAAATGTGGGGGCGTGTCTGCTGTTGCGTGTGGGGGACTCGCAGTGTGTGTCAGCCGGAGCCCCGTGTCCCTGCCTTGTCACAAACACGTGCCGCTGCCTGGTTCTGGGTGCTCCCTGGACGGCCAGCCTCGTCGGCCCCCCTGCGCCGCGGAGAGTGCCGCCAGGGGCTGCCGGTGGGCTCGGGAGGAGGTGCGCCCTTGGTGCTGCACCTGTCTGTCCTCGCCACCGGCCAGTGCAGGCTGGGGACTAAACCCGATCACGGGAAGGAGAGTTGCGGGTGCTTTGCTTGTAAGAAGTCGAAACCTTCCTGCCGACGTTCGCCAAGCCCGAGGCTCCGCGTCTGCAGGGCTGTCAGGCCTTCCCGGAAGCTGTGCCCGCGGGGGTGGGCAGGGGCCCCAAGATTCTGGGCGTGGTGCCTGCTGCTCCTGGTGAGCGGGGCCCACACTGCATCTGCGGCAGTCACCAGTCGTGAGTGGGGCGTGTCCTGCGTGAGGGGTGCTGGGCTCACTGGGCACAGATCTCTCGGTCAAGAGGTGATGTAAATGATGTTTCCATTCCAGGGTGTGAGGCCGTCCCCCAGGCCGAAGCAGAGCGAAGGGACCAGTATCCAGCCCTGCTCCAAGAGAGCCCGGTACGCGCTGTCCCCCGCCTCCGGGCTGCTCGCCCGGTGGCGGTGGGGACGCCCTGGCGCTGTCCTGGGGGTCTGGTTTGGAAGGGCCTTCTTGCTTCTCCGCAGCCTCGCTGTGACGCCTCTTGCTTTACTGAAGTGGTGAACCACGGTTTTCTTTTTCCTTCTTAGGAAAAAGAAGAAACCCCGTTAGACTCTTGTTCTGTAGGCAGCACCTCACCAGGGGGTGGTGGCCGCCAGCCCTGGGCACCCCAGAAAGTGCCGGCCTGGGGCGGGGCCGGGACGGGGCCCCCGGCAGCAGGGCTGCCTGGGCAGCACGTGCTGCACCCCGAGTGCAGGAAGCTGCCCCCTTAGACTGCTCTTGGGCCGGCCCAGCTGCTGTGTCTCCACTGTCCCCAGTGCCTTGGTCGTTTCTCTCCCAGCCCCTCAGCCCCCCCCCCCAACTCTGGAGCCACACAGCCTGTGATGGTTGAGTTTTGTAGTAGAGCCGGAAGTACAGGATTGCGGTTAACACGTGTCACCAAAACACCACGAATAGACTTAAGGTTTCTTTGACCTAGGCTGTCTCAGTGACAGATAAGCTAAGATTTAGATGGATGTGGAAAGTGTAAGGAAATGGAAAGGCCGAGGTTTGATTGCACGTGTGTGCCTGAGTCACAGCCAGTTTGTGCTGCCGGGGTCAGGGGGCCAGGTCGCCACAGGGAGGAGCGGGCGGGGACAGCAGCGGGCTGGGCCCAACCAGCATGTTTGCCTTCTCTTTAAAGCCAATTTTTAAAAAAAGCCCATTAAAAAATTTTAAACAGGATCTTATTTATTTCTAGACAGAGAAAGGGAAGGGAGAAAGAGGGAGAGAAACATTAGTGTGCGCTTGCCTCTCTTGCGCCCCCTACTGGGTACCTGGCCCTCAACCCAGGCATGTTCCCTGACTGGGAATGGAACTGGCGACCCCTTGGTTCTCAGGCCAGTGCTCAGTCCACTGAGCCACTCCAGCCAGTAGCAATTTTTAACTGCTAATCTGAACCGTGGGTCGGGGTCCTGCCTGCAGGTGCTGGGCAGTCCTCACTTGGCGGGTGCCCATGAGCCAGGAAGAAGGGCGAGTACCAGGCCGTGCATCCCTCAGGGAAGCCGCCCCCGTCCAAGGCCGGGCACGCTGCTGAGAGCCCCAAGTGCCGGGGCCTCAAACACCTTTCACTCATTTTTAAATTTTCTTTCATTGTTTCAACAAACAACATCAACTTTTAATCATGGAAACAAACTGCCATTCCAAAACTAGTTTTAGGGATGAAAAAGACTATTTAATTTCAGAGAGAGGGAAAGGGGGGAGAAAGGAAGAGAAACGTCAATGTGTGGTTACTTCTCACGAGCCCCCTGCTGGGGGCCTGGCCCTTGAATCCAGATCTGTGCCCTGACTGGGGATCGAACCTGTGACCCTTTGGTTTGCAGGCCTGCGCTCAGTCCACTGAGCCACACCAGCCAGGGCTTCAAAGACCTTTTAAAGTGAAGTGACAGCGCCATGTTTTCCTTGTTTATTCCCCAGGATTGAAGACATACCACCGCCCACGAAGAAGCTGGCGCCGGAACTGACGCCCTTGGTGCTGTTCACGGGGTTCGAGCCTGTCCAAGTGCAGCAGTACCTCAAGGTGACCGGCCCAGCGGGGGCTGCGGCGGGGGCCCCGGGCGTGTCTGTGTGCTCACCTGGGGCTTGTCCTGGTGCTGACAGCGGGAGCGGGCCCAGCGACAGAGCCAGCAGCTCCCCGCCTGGTCTGGGCTCTTCCACAGCCTGATACCACCTCCTGGGCCGTGGCCATGGGGTGCTGGTGAGCAGACCACTGCTGTTGGTGCGGGCGAGGCTGCAAGGGTCCCTCCCGCACAGACGTCCCCGGCTTGGGGCCGTAGGCCCCTGAGGGTAATCTCCTTGGCCGGGAGGTCGCACAGGAGCTGTGTGTGTGTTTCTACAGAATTTCATATGTACTTTTTGAAGTAGCAGCACCAGGGATGTGGGACTCTGGTTTGGACCAGGTTTTGTGGGGGGTGGAGACAGGCCAGAGTGTCCTTCGGCCTGTGTTGGGTGTTCATGCATCTCACTTTTTGTTTTTACTCTTTATCTTCAAATTTGTTGTCTCCATTTCCCCACCACCACTTCCCCCTGCCCTGCCCGCCCGCCTCCCTCCCTCTCTGTCCCCTCCGCCCCCCCCGCTCCATCCAGGGTCCCCCATTCACGCTCATTTATGTCTTTGCCCCTTTCCCCCCGGGACTGCCCTCCCCCTCCGGTCACTGTCAGTGTTGTCCATTGCAGCGTCTCTGGCTCCCCTTTGCCAGTTTGGTTTGTTAATTAGGTTCCACTTACAGCTGAGAGCGTGCGTTTCACTTTTAAGAAAAACAGTTATAAATGCTATGCTATAAATTAGTGTAATTTCATGATTTTCAACCTTAAAATTCAGTCCAGCTGCGACCATCTTTTCTGTTTGTGTCTTGTCAGTTTTCATACTGTCATTTTTAAAAGCAGACGGCCCTGGCCAGTGTGGTCAGTGGGTTGAGTACCAGCCTGTGAACTGAAAGGTCACTGGTTCGAGCCCCAGTTGGGCACCAGCCTGGGCTGTGGGCCAGGTCCCTGGTTAGGGGTTGTGTAGGGGTAATGATCACTGTGTCCCTCCCTCTCTTTCTCCCTCTCCCTCTTTAAAAATAAATGAACCAAAGTCTTAGGAAAGTAAGAGGATAGACGGGAGGTTTGGCGTGCCTCGGGAGTCCCCGTCTTAGCCTCCCATGCTGGCGCGTCCCTGTCACCACGAGGGAGCCGTGCGGCTGGCGGCCGAGGGGGTTCGTGCCCGATCTGCATTTCTGTGAGACCGGTCGCAGACACGGGCCCTGCACACTCTGCCCGCCCCTCGCCCCGGCAGGGGTGCGGTGGGTGTGACCGGCTCTTCTCTCCTGTGGCCGAGGACCGTGCTCCTCGGTGTCCCGGGGGCTGAGGGCCCCACGGCGCAGCCCTCACCTGAGTCTCTTCTGCCTCCGCCCTCCAGAAGCTCTACATCCTCGGTGGTGACGTCGCCGAGTCTGTGCCCAAGTGCACGCACCTCATCGCCAGCAAGGTCACGCGCACGGTCAAGTTCCTGACGGCCGTCTCGGTGGTGAAGCACATCGTGACCCCCGAGTGGCTGGACGAGAGCTTCCGGTGCCAGAAGTTCATCGGTGAGCGGAGCAGTGCTTAGTGCTGGCCGGCAGGATTTCTGCTCCTTGTGACTGCCCCCCAGGGTCTGCCCCTCCCGGCAGGGCATCAGGCTCTGCTCACCCCAGAAACTCTCACTGCAAGTCCCCGCTTCTGTGTGTTGGGCCCTTTTTAATCCCATTTTAAAATTTCTCCCGTATTTAGACATTCTTGGCTCCTCCCACCTTCCGCCCCCGTGACTGGGTTGAGTTGAGTCTCTAGTCACCATTAAACTTCAGCGTTCCCCCGGGGTGTGCTTGCTCTCACCCGGGACGAGCACCCCGGCCTTCAAGCTGAGGGGGGGTTCACGTTTTGAAAGCACTGTTACAGCTGTGGGAGGCGGCAGGGTCCGGGCAGGCAGGGAGTCCCCCCATGTCCTGAGTTCCTGTCACCCTGCTGTCTCCAGTTTGCTGGTCCTGAGTCTAGGTCCTTCCCTGTTCGGGGCGTCTGACAAGGGTGCCCCCAGAGGGGAGCCTTCAGGAGGCTGTGTGGCCATGTATGTACACATTCACACACACACATACACACACGCACGAAGGATGGATACGGACGTGTTCCTATGATGAAGACATCTCTCGACCTTGAACTTGGCTATTTATTTAAGTGTTCTTCTGACAGCTCTGGAAACCAGTCGATTAAAAATTCTCAGGAACCTTCACACTTTGCTACAGTGACCTTACAAAGGCCACATGCTTTCACGTTCCTAGAAGGACCGTGCGTTTGGTGAACAGGCAGCATTTCACTCATGGATGATTAGCTAATGGAGTCGAGGGTCCCTGAGGTCTTGGTAGCCATGGCCTGGACACCCAGGACGAGCTGGCAGCTCAGAGCCCGTCCTTCCGGGGCAGGGCTCACCCCCGGGGGGGGGGTGTGGGCAGGGGCAGTGCTGGGCTGGGCTGCCCCTGGAGTCCCCACAGGTCCAGCGTGGACCTGGGAGGAGGGGTCGGCCTGTGGGTCGGGGCCTGTACAGGAAGCACCCTGGGTGTGGTGCCGCCGTGGCGCCACCACAGTGGCCGGGCCCTGCCCTGAGAGCTGCGCCTTCCCTTGCAGACGAGCAGAGCTACCTCCTCCGAGACGCAGAGGCCGAGGTGCTGTTCTCCTTCAGCCTGGAGGAGTCTTTGAAGAGGGCGCACGTCTCCCCGCTGTTCAAGGTAACGGAGACGGGGACCCCGGCGGCCTGCACGGCGGCAGGCTGCTACCCGGGGAGGGTTACCTGCGGGGCGGCCCCCTCTGGGGGTCGATAGCAAGCGGGAGAAACGGACCCACTAGGGAGAGGCCTGGTGTGGGCTGGTGGGTGGGGCGGCCTGGTGAGAGGCAGTGCCGTGCTTCCCTGCCGTTGTTGGCGAGGCTGCACTGCGGCCGGGACGGCAGTGAGTCGTGTGTGCGCGGTGACCGAGCGTGTGCCGGGATGATCCTGACTGCCGATTTCCGAGTGTGTGTTGAGTAGGGTCCTGAGGACAGTCTGGACGTGTCTGTGTCACGGTGGCCGAGTGAGTCAGTGAAGGGCGTCTGGTGTTTGCGTCTGTTGAGAGGCCGCTGAGGGACCCGGAGGGACGGGCGGCGGCGGGTCACGGTGCATCTTACCTGAGACCGGCGGGTCTTTCCCGGTGCTCGCGTTTTTCCCGTGGGTGGTTTAAAGCAACGTGGTGTTTTATAGTGCCCTCAGGAGCATGGTGACAGAAAAAGAAATTTAAAAAATGTTTTACGGTTATCTCTTTTTCCCCACTTTATTCCCCTCCGTGTGCACCCCCACCACCAGCATCCCCCTGCCGTAGCTCATGTACATGTGAGTTCTTGGGCTTTTCTATTTCCTGTACTATTATTTTTTAAAAGGTTTTATTTATTCATTTTTAGAGAGAAGGGAAGGGGAGGGAGAAAACGAGGAAGAGAAACATTAATGTGTGGTTGCCTCCTCATGTAGCCCCTACTGGGGACCTGGCCTACAACCGAAGCATGTGCCCTGACTGGGAATTGAACCCACGACCCTTGGTTCGCAGGCTGGTGCTCCATCCACTGAGCCACACCAGCCAGGTCCCCTATGCTGTTCTTACCCTCCCCCTGTCTATTTTGTACCTACCATTTATGCTTTTTATTCCCTGCACCTTTCCCCCCATTCTCCCCCCTCCTCCTCCCCGACCATAATCCTCCATGTGATCTCTTTTTCTGTGATTCTGTTCCTGTTCTGGTAGTTTGCTTGGTTTGTTATTTGCATTGAATTATTGGTGTGAGTTAGTTGTCATTTTACTGATCATAGTTTTTGATCTTGTATTTTTTAGATGAGTCCTTTTAACATTTCATATAATAAGGGCTTAGTGATGATTAATTCTTGAACTTGACCTTATCTGAGAAGCGCTTTATCTGCTCTTCCATTCTAAATGAAAGCTTTGCCCTTGCTTTTCATGACTTGGAATACTTCTTTCCAGCCCCTTCTTGCCTGTAAGGTCTCTTTTGAGAAATCAGCTGACAGTCTCGTGGGAACCCCTTTGTAGGTAACTATCTGCTTTTCTCTTGCTGCTTTCAACATCCTCTCTTTAACTTTTGACATTTTAATTATTATGTGTCTTGGTGTGGTCCTCTTTGGGTCCAATTTGTTTGGGACTCTGGACTTACATGTCTATTTCCTTCACCATATTAGGGAAGTTCTCTTTCATTATTTTTTCAAATAAGTTTTCAATTTTTTGCTCTTTGTCTTCTCCTTCTGGCAGCCCTATGATTCCGATGTTGGTATGTTTGGAGATGTCCCAGAGGGTACTCATACTCTCCTCATTTTTTTAAATACTTTTTTCTTCCTGCTGTTCTGACTGAATGCTTTTTCCTTCCTTGCATTCTAAATCACTGATTTTGATTCTCAGCTTCATCCCCTCCACTGTCGGCGCCCTGTGGGTTTGTCTTTATTTCACTTCATGCAACCTCGGTTTCAGCCTGGGTGTTTTTGTGGGGTTGCAGTGCCCCGTGAGTTCTCTGAGCATCCTGATCGCCAGTGCTTTGAAGTCTGCATCTGATAGGTTGCTTATCTCTGTTTCGTTTAGTTATTCTGGGGTTTGGTTCTGTTCTTTCAGTTGGGCCATGTTTCCTTGTCTCCTTGTTCTGGCAGCCTCCCTGGGTGTGTTTCTGTGTATTTGGTGGGGCTGCTTTGACTCCCTGTCTTGGTGCATCTGAGAAGTTGTGTGGGGCGGAGCAACCCGCTTTACTGCTCTGTGTGGGGGGAAGGCTCAGAGAGGGGACAGTGCACTTGACATTTTCAGTCACCTCACTTTCTCCCCTTGCGTGACTGGTGCCGTCTGGCTGTTGTGCTGGTGCTGAGTCCCTTTAATCGGAGTTTCCTGAAAATCGGGCTGTTTCTTCTGCAGCCCCAACCCCCACAGGTTTTTACAGTGAGAACTTATGGGGACTTATCTTCCCAGTGCTGGGGCCCTGAGCAGAGACCCTGGCCGGGAGGTCTGGCCTGGGCTCCCTCCCTCCTGAGGGGTCCCTCCCCCCCCCCAGGCGCCCCTCCCCATCTTCAGCCACCACATGTGGATGTGGGACCATCCGTCCACTGCGTCTCCGTGTGATACCGTGTCTCCACCCCTCCTGCCCGTCTGGGTGAATGTGGCTTCTTTAAATCCTTGGTTGTCAGCGTTGTGTTCAGCGGAATTTTCTGACGGTTCTGGGTGTGGTTTTGAGGTATAGTTGTAAATTTTTCCGTCGTTGTGGGAGGAGGTGAAGCGTGTTTACTTACACCTCCATCTTGGCCCGAAGTTTGGGAATGTCATTTTCAGAAAAATAAGTAAGTCTTCACCATCACAGTCGTTTCCTGCTCGCTGTGAGCCCCAGGAAGATGTGGAACGCACACAGGGCGGAGTGCTGGAGCTTGTCACTTCCTTTCTCGGGACATCGTGGGGGTTGTGATGCACACGGAAATTGAGACAAGCGTTTGTTCTTCTTGCCTTGGTCACAGAGAGCATTGTGCGCGGCAGGGCTGGACGTTCCGGGCCCCGCGGGCGAGCGCAGGGCAGCCGGCCTTGGTGTGCCGGGACCTGCCGGGGCTCCGAGGGGACCTGCCGGGGCTCCGAGGGGACCTGCCTGAGCAGCCTGGACGGTTCAGGACCGGGCCGTGGGGGCGGGCCCTGAAAGTCAAAGCTCTCGGACCACGTTGGGCCTCCATTTCTACTTTTAGGCAAAGTACTTTTACATCACGCCCGGGATCTGCCCCAGCCTGTCAACGATGAAAGCCATCGTGGAGTGTGCCGGGGGGAAGGTGCTGTCCAAGCCGCCGTCCTTCCGGAAGCTGCTGGAGCACAAGCAGAACAAGGTGGGCCTGGCGGGCGCACCCGTCCCCCGTCGCTGTGTGGCGCTGCGTGGGCTGTGCAGCGCTGCGCAGGGGCCGACTCGCACCTTTCTCCCCACAGAGCCTGTCGGAGATCGTGCTGATCTCCTGCGAGAACGACCTGCACCTGTGCCGCGAGTACTTCGCCCGGGGCATCGGTACCGATGCGGGAGCAGGGGCCGGGGTTTGGGGGGTGCGAGGCTGGGGCGGGGGGCATGTGCTCACCACGCTGCTCACGGGGCTTCCGTCCCCTGCTGCTTCCAGACGTGCATAACGCGGAGTTTGTCCTCACGGGGGTGCTCACGCAGACGCTGGACTACGAGTCATATCCTTTGGCGAGGGCCGGGCTCAGGGGCTGCCCGGGCAGGTGGGACCCGTGACCAGAGGCCCTGGGGGCCCGCAGTGGTGTCTTGTCTCTACCCAGCGTGGACTCCGCCTTTCCAGGCCTCTCCTCCTGCTCATATGTGTGTGTGGGGCTCCTCTCTGGGTGGGGAGAATTGCTTAACACTGACCCGGTGGTCTGTGGGGGGGTCATCTGGGGCCCGGGGGTGTGGGGGCAGGTGGGGGTGCCGCAGGCCAGGGGTTGGGAGAAGGGCAGGGCTCAGGGCCCCGAGTTGGGTCCCTTCCACGCTGTCACTGCCCTGCCCCTTCTTGGGAAGTTGTCTTCCTCAGCGAGCCCACGTACAAGTTCAACTGACGTCACCACCGCGGTGCCTGAAGCTGCCCCGTCCCAGCGCAGGCTTCGCCGAGGGCCGCTGCCCCACCCACCTTCGTTCTCCAGCTGCCGGAGGGACAGTGCTTACAGCAGGGGGACGCGCATAAGGACCTGTGCTGCATCTTTTGGGATGCGCGATTTTACTGAGGAACGTGAATTATGTTTGTATTAAATGACTTTTAAGAGTCCACATCAGGTTTTATGATGTCTTTGCCAGGTGTTTAAATGTTTTCACAGACTATGGGTGTGGACTGTGTAAATAAGACTTGCTCTCTCTAAATTATGAATTTGAAGATTGAGATGTTTTGTACTTTCTTTGTATTCCTTATACACTTTCCTTTTATACTGATATCCTGCCCACATTTTAAATAAATGTACTTTTGAACTTAGAGTGGAGCGATCTGGCGACTGTTTCTGAAGTGACCTCTGGCGGTCAACGCCCTCCAGCAGGGTGGTACTCAACGCCCAGGCGGAGGGGCCTGGCGGGAGGCCACGTCTTCCCGGGCCAGCCACCAGGGAGGCTGGTAGGCTCATCGTGCTGGCCCTTTACACACTCACACCCACATGCACGCACTCAAACACGTGCACGCACTCAAACACGTGCACACAGACATGCTCACTCACAGCCACACAGACATAGCCCCGCCTCGTGATCTGTTTTCCTTCAAATACATTTGAACTTGAGACGGACTCCGTGCTCTATATAAAAAGAGCAAAGTCACTTTTGGAGTCTGGCTGCAGTGGCATCAGAGTGTGAGAACTGGGGTGGGGCTCGCACAACCGTGGGGAAGCTGCCAGTGCCTCACGGGGCTGTGGCATCACTTGTTCTGACAGCTCATGAAAGCAGGGATTCCATGGGGCTGGGGGGACAAAGCAGTCTATTCGGACCAACAGCTCAAGATTCCAGGCACGGAGAGGGCCGATGGCAGCCATGACCCCAGAGATGATTACCAAGATGATTACCAAACCGAGGGCCACACCAGCAGGCACCAGCGCTGCTCCGGAAACAGCTTGGTGAGAGTCCATGGGGACAGGCCCCCGGGAGGACTCGGCTCGTTCTGGGAGGAGGCCCCCGGCAGACTGCCAGCAATGGGTGATAGGTTCCAGTGAGGACCAGCGGCTCGGGACCAGTGACACCTGGTGGAGGGCCCTGCCACTGCGGGAGGCTGCGGGGTCTTGGGCTCCCGGAAACTCCTTTTGCAGCCCTCCCCATTGCGCGGTTTGCCTGATATCGATGCCACAGGTGTCTCTTCTCAGCACTAAGTTGTTGGGGGTGGCGTGGGGTCCGATTTCCTGCTGGAGGCTGTCCTGGGCCTCACCGCCCTGAGGATGTGAGGCCAGGGCCTGCCTTTGGTGTTCCCCATTGCCTCCTGACGCCCCAGTGTTTTCTGGGACCCTCGGCAGTCACCAGCTGGACATGGACGTGGAAACCGGGCACGGGTGAGAAAAGGGGAGAGCTCCCCAACAGGATCGGAGACGTTGCCTCAATTCTTCCCTGGTCCCTGGGCCCAGCCTGAACTCATCGTCCCTGATTGGCTTCTTGCTGCAGCTTATCGAGACCGAAGCACCGTCCACCTATGGAGAGTGGTAAGAGTTTATCTGAGCCAAAGTGACCACCTGCTGGGGGAGCGAGACCTCAGATGCCCTGGAGAGTGACAGGCAGTTCCCCTTGCATCTGAGAGTGAGGAGGGACCCTCGGGAAGATTCCGGGCAGGGATAGGACCTCCGGGGAGCTGCGGTCTCCGTCCCGCCCTCTCCCGAGGGTGCGCTTGCCTCCGAGGGGCATTAACTGCTGGCACCTGGACGGTGTGTGAGCCTGGAGACAGACGATGGATGGACGAGGCTTGGCTAAGGGCAAAGCTAAGCCTTTCGCTGACCTTGCAGGCAGGGGCTGAGGATCAGGCCACCTGCGAGATTACTTCCCCTCTGTCCACAAACTCCGCCCCCCGCAACCGCCCCCAGACCCGAGAGGAGGGACCCTGCTGGCTGGGACCCAGTGCTGGGCATCCCTCCCGTCCTGGAGGCGGCTCTGAGCCTTCCGACCTCTTGACCTCCGTTCTGTGTCCCCCTCTGGCTGCCCATCACTGGAGCTCTGTCCTTGGAAGCTGTAACTTCACCTGCCCCTGAACTCGTCGGTGCTGCCCAGCCTGCAGGGCTCTAGTCGGAGCTGCGGGCTGAGCAGGGCCCAGCGCTTGTCCTCTTCTGCCCTCTGCTGGTGGCGCCAAGAGCAGCAGGGGACGCTCCGGGCCAGATTCCAAGGAGCCTTCCACCTCCCTCCCACTGGGGCCGGAGCCTCTGCACTGGTTGGGAGCTGCTCGGGGTCCTACCTCACTTCCAGGGGCCGCGCCGTGCCGCCGCCCCGACCTGCGCCAGGTCGCGGGACAAGCTGAACGGAGCGCGACTCCAGGAATGGCCAGTGGGCAGCGAGGTCGCTCCCCGCGCCCCTTCTCAGCTGGTGCAAGTTACTCTTGGGCGCTTTTCATTCCCTGCAGTGAAGCCGGAAAGCAGAGGGACCTCCAGCAGCAGGAGGGGCGCCTGTGGGCGTGAAGCGGCCCTAGGAAACGTCCCACTCTGTAAGAACCGGGGCCCATGGGCGTGCGCTGGGCAAGGCCTTACTGCCGCGACCCCGCAGGGCTGGGTGGGGGCAGTGAGAAAGGGCCAATAACGCCCCAGCCGGTGTGGCTCAGTTGAGCCCCAACCTGCAGAGCAAAGGGTCACCAGTTCAATTCCCAGTCAAGGTACGTGCCTGGGCAGGCAGGTCCCTAGTAGGGAGCACGTGAAAGGCAACCGCACAGATGTTTCTCTTCCTTCCTTCCCTTTCTCTAAAAAGAAATAAATACAAATTTTAACAACAGACTTAGCAAGTGAATAAGTTATAATACTGCCTTTATTATTTATATTGTACCTCCCTCTAGAGAAAACCAAAGGCAATTTACATATACACATGAAACAGAACAGGCAAAAATTACAATTAAGGAGGAAGGAAATAGGAAAATAAGGGTAAGACTATTGACATGCAGGTAGCTATTGGGCTAAAACATATGTTGGATGAAACTAAAAGCATATCTTTTTTAAATGAAATATTTTATTATCTTTAGAGGGGAAGGAGATAGGGAGAGAAACATCAATGTATGGTTGCCTCTCCTGTGTCCCCTGCTGGGAACTGGCCTGCAACCCAGGCATGTGCCCTGACTGGGAATTGAACCACATCCTTCAGTTCACAGGCCCGCTCTCAATCCACTGAGCTACAGCAGCCAGGGCTCAAAAAGCATATGTTAAAGAACTCGCTCCTCAATACCGGGAGTGCATGTCTGCCTTTCACCTCTCCACGAGCCACTTCAAAACAAACAAAACTCATTAGCCCTGGCAGATGTAGCGCAGTGGATTGAGCACAGGCTGTGAACCAAAGAGTCGCTGGTTTGATTCCCAGTCAGGGCACAGGCCTAGGCTGCTGGCCAGGTCCCCAATAGGGGGTGTGTGAGAGGCAACCACACATGGATGTTTCTCTCCCTCTCTTTCCCCCTCCCTTCCTGTCTCTCTAGAAATAAATACATAAAATCTCAAGGGAAAAAAAAAAATAAAAGACCAGTGACTCAGAGCAGAGGGGAGGCTGCTGTGGGCCCCAGGAGTCTGGCAGCCCTGGTGGGCGGTTCAGATCCACGGATCTGATGCTGAGCAGTCTCTCCTGATCCCCATTGGGCTGCACTTTGCGATTCGACTAAAAGTAACAGCCTTCACCTGCGCGTGCGCGTGTGAACGCCTGACAGGTGATAGCTGGGGCCAGGGGACAGCTGGGCACGCCAGGCACTGGCCTGGCCCGAGGCTGAGGCCCCTCGGGGAGCCACAGAGGTAGCTCCGCTTTTGGGGTGGGAGTTTTCACTCAAGCAGGGAACCCCAGGTCCCAGGACCCAATCAATCCTGGGGATGTGTGAGGATGGAGGCTGCCCAGACAGGGGCCTTCGCTCTGCGTCAGAGGCTCAGGTGATTTAGCTCCCGAACTTGGCCACACCTGCCCCCTTCTCCTCCTCCAACTGCAGGCCCGCTCTGGGGCAGAGGCTCCGCCTTCGGTGGGCGGGGCTCCTGGGCGTGACTCCACGTGGAGCTGAACCCGGGGCCTCGGGCCAAGGCTGTTAATGTTTTTTTCTTGGACTCCGGGCCAGACGCTCGCGGAAGCCCAGCTCGTTGGACCGACCCCTTCTTCGAGTGAGTGAGTACGCCATGCAGTGAGCAAGCATTTTGACTCTGGGGAGGCCGACGCACCCCTTCGAACGGTAATTTAGAAACCACCGTCTGCTGACGTCATCCGAACAGAGTTTGGGCCACTGTTGGGCCCGTGTTCTTGTCCCTTAGTGAGTCTGCCAGGGCTCTGAGTGCGACACGACCAGAGAGAGTCACTGTTAAAACGCTGTCTCCCCTGGCTGCGACGGTCACACGCAGCCACCACAGTGGGAAGCCCAGGTGTCTCTGTTTGATCAGGGGTCTCGTGGAGGGAAACGCCCTTTGTTGCAGGTGCGGCCCCTTCGGAGAACGTCTTCCCACGATGCCTGGGGCTCAGGGCCCCACGGGGAGGCTGAGCGTAGTGCTTCGGGCCTGGCTGTCCCTCTTGTCTGCCACCCAGACACACAGGAGTCCCTCCCTCCCAAGCCCCTTGCCACCCAGGGTCCACCCCTGCTGCTGGGCACAGCTGGGGCTGCAGGGCCCCTGGAGGATTCACTGACTGATGCCAGGTGGGGTCCCACTGAGCTGGGACCCAGCCCCCTGCTGCCCACCCCCCCGGTGGCACCTGCCTCTGCCTCCCAGGACGCAGGCGCTTGCCTCCGCCAGGGCCCCCTCCCGCCTTCTCTCCTGGCACCTGGCGGAAGACCCCCTCACTCCCTCACACCCAGAACAAATCAACTGGCAAAAAACAAACTCAACCTATTATTCCAAGTGGGGGGTCACCCCAAGCTACCAGACAGGTGTGGACTCTGTCCAGGGCCCAGTTTTAGCCCCGCATCTTCCTGTCCTGCCGCGGTCCCGCCGCAGCGGGTCAAGGGGTCCCACAGGCGAGGGTAGGCGGCGGCGCTGGGTAACAGATGACAACACGCCTCAAAGGACAGTGAAGCTCTGTTCCGTTTATTGCAAGTACAAGCAGGTTTTTATATTTTCATTTTAGGTAGTGATTAACATTTGCAGTATAACATGATCATTTAAGCAGAAAAAATCAATACAAAGGTAATCAGTAAAAGTACGAAAGTTCCCATAGATTTAGTTGTAAAGATCAAAGATTATTTTAACTAGGAGAGCCATTAATCAGACAATTAGAAGTATCCTATTGTATGTTAAAGTTTCTTAGAATTTGGCATAGGGCAAAAGGATATGCTAGATTGAATAGGGAAAACAGGAAATTTA